CTCTCTCTCTCTCTCTCTCTCTCTCTCTCTCTCTCTCTCTCTCTCTCTCTCTCTCTCTCTCTCTCTCTCTCTCTCTCCTCGCATACGCGAATTTTTATTGAGTGACCAGGAAGTAACGTGTCGCACTCTTGCGCGTACACAATGGCGCGTCCGTTAATAATGGTGATTTGCGTCCTCGTGGTACTCGCGCCGCCGAGATTCATCTACGGGAGTCCTGTGATCGATCATAGCAGGTAATTATGTGTGTGTGGTGTACAATCAAGGAGTAGAGGACAATAATTGTATCCTCTCCGTCGATATACGCGCAATGCGTATTTCAAGTGTCATGGCAACATACGAACGTGTTGTTGGGAAATCGACCGAGATCGATACCGCTTTCATTCTTGTCAGCGATCTTACGTAAAACTTCTTACGTATGCTGCATTAACTATTACGTCAGAACATTCGGTAAAATTAGTAATATTAGAAACATATACATACATATGTGTATATATATATATTTCTCTCTCTCTCTCTCTCTCTCTTATCTCGATAGAAATACACAACTTTTGACGATTTTTCCGTCCGTATCTAAAAACAAAAACGTAGCATTTTCTTGGCCGTCACGATAAGTTTGGCGCGATACGTATCAACTTGTGCGTCGTTCGATGACGGCGTTCCTTATATTTTCGTTTTACAACAGATCAGCCTCAAATACGCTCACACATAACTCAAAGCCAGAGGATGTCACGAATTACGAGCAGAAGAAAGCGACCATCATGTCGATCATATGCGAAAGCGCATCAATTCCCGTGAAGTCGTAAGTCGAAAAGTGACAAAATTGCCACAGAAAGAGATAATGTGCAATCAGTCGTGCTTATTAAAAGAAGTCTTGCGATCTTCAACTCGACTCGTCTTTGCAAAAAAATAAGTCGAGTTGAAGATCGCAATGTAACTTTTAATGAACGCAAATAATCACTTATTATATTTTTTTTATATAATTCATTTTGTTATCTTCTTCGTTCTTCTTTCTTTTTTGTATTTTCAGTTAGACTCGTTTTTTGCGAAAATAAGTCCAGTTGAAGTTCGCAACATTATTTCTAACAAACGCGAATGATAGCGCGTTATCATTTTTATATATAGTTTATTTCGCTATCTTCCTTTCCGCGTTTTTGTATTTTCAACTTAACTCGACAAGAGAGCTTTAATTTTGAATTGATTTGTTTCAATATTTATGATGTGTAGGGACCCAATCTGAACAATCGCGTTCACAGCACTTGTACATTATTATTTACCTTTTCCTTTTTCTCAGTGGAACTAAAATATATGTAAAATTCTGTGAAATATATTATACTCCCATTTTTTCACAACTCGACTCGTTTCTACGAGTCGAGGTGAAGTTTATAATGTCACGTTTTTTCAACTTGACTCGTCTTCGCAGGCGGCAAAAGCGAATGTTCCAATTGTCCGACCAGAGACTAGCCGAACTGGAGACGTTAATGACTCTGTCGCTGGTGGGCAGGATACTATCGGAAGCGAGATACAAGAACCCGGCGACACTGTAAGGGAAACTCTCGCTGAGAGAGCGATAGAGTATCTTTCTTCCTTGACGCATTTTCGTCAAGCCAACTAAAGCACGTGATCGACGGTATGTTGCAGTAATCGCCATAAGCGTGCCATGACGAGGCTGACCTCTCTGAACCGCCGACCGCCGTCAAGCAATCTCGCGAGCAATTAAAACATGACGCGCGTGGCACCGCTCGCTTAGGTAAGCGCTCGTCATCATTGTCGCTTCCGATCGCATTCGTGCAAAGTATCTTCTTTCCTGCCGCGCAGAAGAACATTCAAGAGCATCGCCGAGAGCGCGGCGTAGCATATCTCAGCCTCGTAACCGTCGTAATCATTTTTCGGGCGAGCTTCGAGAAATACGTAATTGCGTAGGTCGTAAATTAATGTCCACGAAAAGTGACGCAAGGCGATCACTGTATCAGCGCTGATAAGTGTCCCGAGCGGAGGCTGTTCTTTTCGACGACACGTTCGCATTATCGTCCGGTCACAGCGTTATCGTCGCTCGGGAGCGAGTTTCACAACTTATTTAGATTTAGATCAAGAGACATGATCGGCCCTGACGATAATGAGGTCTCCTCATCTAATTAAAATGCGCAATGTCGCCACGGGAAAAAATATTTACAAACAACGATACCACGTTCCGTACAATCGCGTGTCTATTCGAGTAGTAAATTCGAAAAACGACAACGTAATTTCTCCCCTCTTTCCCATCTCTCTCTCAAGATTCTCTCTTTCTGTCTTCCCCCCCCCCTCTCTCTCTCTCTCCCGCCCTTTCTACCTCTCTCTGTCTCTCTTTGCTTCTCTTTCCCTCTCTTTCTCACTCCATATCGCTTGCTCTCTCTTCCTCTTTTTCTCCCCGATGTACTTTGAAATTGAAAAATCCTCCTCGTGCCGAAGCATGTGCGTTCGATAGTAGCGTACCGTGAAACTTTGTAAAGCTCGAGACGCGCGAAAAATCCGATATCTATCAGCGAACGATTAACCGTACTAATCGTTGTGCGTTAACGATGTTTAACTTCGTACGCATTTGTTTATAGCTGAGTCAGCCGAGAGATCGTTTGCTAGACTATGGATCGTCGCGGCTAGCGCGTGATCGGCGAGAGGATAAATATTTTATAACGCGAGAAGACATTCTTCCAGAATGTGCTTCTTGTCTTGTTAGAATGGTTGCTTAGGAAATTGCGTGAGAGCGCGCGAAATGGAAAGCATTTGAATAGCAATATATGCAGCAAGTCATGTTTATGAACCAGATTTTTTATTCGAACTCTTTTTCAGCGATAAAAGCGCTTCTAATGCACATTTCTAATGTCAATTAAAACTTAATTTCTCCGAATTTAAGCCTTTGTCCAAAGAGTTTAAACTTAATTAATATGTTTATAAGCCAAATTAGAAGGCTCGCATTTAGAGGCGCTTTTACCGATAAAAGCGAGTTCAGAAAAAGGGTCTAACAGTCTCCATAGAGACTCACATATAGATTCAAATAAATCCGTTGATACACGTTGAACTTAATGAATGATATAATATGTGATGATACGATGATGTAATATGAATGATACATGATATGAATATTGAGCTTAATTCGCGTATTTGAAAACGTCTTAATCGATCTGTCGTGTAGTCATTGTAATTGACGCGTTAACGAACAATTTCAGGATTTCTTTCGACAATGACAATTTTTCAAATCTTCACATGATTGTATCATTTGTGAAATTCTATGTTCATTTGTACTCACGTAATAATGTTGACTGAGAGTTGCGTATCTATCTCTAATGCAGGACTCCTTAATATCGTGCGAGTTCCATGCGTGCACTCTATTAAAGCACTGTCGAAACTGAAATTACAAGGTTGTATTTAGTTTACGTATTTATTTACTAATAAATGATAGGAAGTATACATGTAGCAATAATCGTAGATATATAGAAGACTTCACGCAAAAAAATATATAATCTCATCGTTAACGGAATGTTCTTGTGTATATTATTTCAAGTAATTCTTCTAAAACCAGAAAGAAAATATTCTAAACACAATATTATTCCTTTTCATTGAAAGAGAAATTCTCTTTCAGCGAAATATTCACTTAGAACAGGAATACATTGGTATTACAGGAAATAGAGTACTTTGCAGCTGAAGCTCTTTCTTCCTTGGATGTTAGAATATTTTCCTTTTGGTTTTAAAAGAAGATCCTTTTGAGTCTATAACATAAGAAGATTTCGTCAAAGTTAAGATTATATTCTTTTTTGGTGTTCACATCACGTTTCGGTTATAACAACCTCGTCTCAAGAAAGCTAACTTCATAATTATTGTTATTCAACAAACTACACGCGAGAATTATTTATTATCGAGCTTTCACATTTTGTATCATATGTCGCGTTCAAGATGCGCGCCAATGCGTCTGTTGTTGCTTGAGACGCGACCGTTAAAGATTATTACGTTTAGTGACAAACTTTATGACACGTCTGTAGATGTAAGAAGAGTCAATAATTAAACTAATTAAGATATAATCCCAACTCATCGATTCTGTGAATGGACTCCCGAGTGCTGCGAGAGACGTGCGTTCTACAAAAATGCGTGCTGCACCATTCGTCGACAAGATGGCTGCAGTGTTTCCCGAATTAAATCGTCGAACGTCTCTTCGGCTAACATACTTAGCGACAGAAACACAATTTAAATGCAATGCGTATGCGATTCTAATGTCGCAAAACGATTTAGATACGGTAAAGTTGAGAGCTCAATGAATCGTCAAAATTGAGAGTTATCACTTACGCAATAATAATATAATTAATAATATAATTATTGGGGGTAAACCCGTCGACGGAATAATATGCGCAACGAGTCATTTTGACAAGCTCTCGAGCAGCGGGGAAGCTGCTTGGGCTAACGTGTGAATTTATAATGACTAATGCAAAATCTATAGCGGCCAACCGTTGGCCAACCAATATGTGCTGCTAATTAGGATTGCATATAAATTGTTTAACAACACGCTGTACGAAAAGCAATTGACAATTATTTTCAATCAAACATTACTCACCGTCCGAGCTCCGACTGGATAAATTCAATAAGTAAACACGGAGCAACCACGGAGCCGGTATACCTTCGCACCGCCATGTTGCCTGTGACATTCAAACCTCGATATCTCGCGAGAGCGAGTTCGATTCTCGCAATTGGCGGCCAATCGATCTTCGGAATCAACGGCTCGATTGCGCGCAGTGCCCTGACGCGATATCGCGTACTCGCGTTATCGATCGAACGAACGCGCAGTAGTGGCGCGCAGAGCGGCGAGAAGCGAGAGGAGACGAAGAAAGGGAGGAGGAGGAGGCGACGGCAGTGGCGACGGTGGCGACGGCAGCGGCGACAAAGCAAGGCGCGACGAGGCGAGGCGAGACGAGGCAAGGCGAGGCGAATGCTCGCGCGAGAGTGGCGCAATGGTAGTTGTTGGTAGTATTACTGGTGCTCGTTGCGGTGCTCTGGCAAAAATTTTCGAATAAAGGGCGTGTAAAAGATGCACCAGTGCCGGGGCACTCGGACTCTCGGCACGGCCCCGGACTCGGAGACGTTACCAGGGATGATGAGCGTGCGGTGCGCGAGGCACAGCGCGACGGTACAATCGAGAGTGGCTGCTTAGCTGTCGTCGTCGTTGTCGTCGTCGTGGTAGTAGTAGTAATAAAAGTTGTCGTATCGTGCGCCGAGCATCAAGCTGCCAATGTTGGACGGAGATGTCCGCGCTCTAAGATACGGACGACCCTGTCAACCTTTTGTGGCTCTCGACAATGCTATTTGGAAGTGACACGAACTTTCCGTGGCGCGTCTTCTTGTAGGTAGTGCTCTAGCGCGTGTGCGTGTGTGATACTCGAGCACGGTGAAATGTTTGCCTCGCCGGCGTCGGTGGTGGGCGAGCCATCGGGCTACGACTTTCAGAAAGAAGAGAACGCTGCCAAGTGGAAGGGAGTGTTTGTCAACTCCCTGCGCAAGGTAAATCTATCATTCGATTCTTCTCGCCGTTTTATCTCCTCTCTGTCTCTCTCTCTCTCTATCTTTCTCTGTCTCTCCCTCTCTTTCTCCTCTCCTTTTCCCTCCCCCTGTCCTGTCTTGTTTCTCCCTTTCTTCTATTTCGCTCTCGTGTCCTCTACTATCCCGTTCTATCCCCTCCACCTCACCCCCGCCTCTCTTCACTTTTTGTTCGCTCGAACGCTCGATCATTTTTCGTCCCGACGATCTTACGTCGAGGCTGAATCGATCAACGACACTAACCGACGTCATCGTCTCGCACGCGCGACGCGCCATATGATTTTTCAAATACGTCCCTGTCAATATTTGTCGGATGCGAAAATTCTTTAATCGCGAGTCTCAGTTCAAGCTGGACTTGCCCGCGATTGTCGACTCGTTCAGAGAACTCGTGTCAGTCTGATAAATTATTGACAACAGTAATATGAGTGCAATATTGTTAATGTAACACTTGGAGCATTAGAAATTATTGCAACAATAGATCTGTTCCTTTCAGTTGAACTGGTGCACATTAGTGTGATAAGTTAAACAAATATATTTTAGGTTTGTTTTTCGTTTCTGCACTGCTGAATTGATGCAATAAGTTAGAGCGAGAAAAAATATACTTGTCTCATTCTAACTTATTGCACCAGTTCAGCAGTTCAGCAGTGCAAGAATAGAAAACAGACCCTTTGTTTCACTCCAACTTACTGCACCAGTTCAGACAGTTCAGCTAAAAGGAACAGACCTAATATACTATGAGTAGATGCATATGTGGTCAAAGGATACGATCAATCTTATAGGTACTAGAGCAAGTACATCCTAGTCTCCAAGCTCGACAAGATGCCTTAGACTATGTGGAGAGCTTAATCTTAAGATTGCTGGGTATGCTCTGTGGACACCCACCTCCTCATACACCACAGGATGTAGAAGAAAGAGTGAGACGCACGTTTCCTACTCCTATTGACAGATGGGCACTTCGCGATGCCAAAGATGCACTGGAAAAGGGAAAGAAAAAGTCACCGTTAGTTCTACCAGTTGACAAGATTCATCAGTTATTACAAAAAGTACATATACTAAGATCTTGTTGAGTATCAGCGCATTCGTGTACATTCATACACGAGAGTAACTGCAGATTCATCTCGTAGAACTATGTGATATATAATATGTGTACATGTTGCTTTTTATTTCAACAGGAAGTATTACAGCACAAAATTGACTCGCAAGTTAGTCTATTTGTAGTCGGAGTTTTGGAATATATCTCTGCAGATATTTTGAAGGTTGGTACCATCTTTTCCGTTTCAAAGTGCTGAACTGCTCACACACACACACACACACACAGCACATTCTCCTCTCTCTCTGCTTCTACAATTTGTCGCGAAATATTTAAGGGTACTTTCTTTTCTTTCAGTTAGCTGGAAATTATGTGAAGAATATTCGCCATGTCGAGATTTCATGCGAGGACATACGGGTCGCTATGTATGCAGATATGGTAAGGCGATATGTTAACGAAAACCTAGAGCCTGTGTTCGATTTCTGTATTGCACCTCAACCGACATACATATACACTCTACACACATGTTTTACCACTTACATTCTAAGACTGATTTGAACGAATTGTTGGACTAGCCGTTTCAAACTCTGATTATTAATGAAATCTCAATAGAATGGTGCTAATGAAACAATCAATTGAATACTAATGGAACAGCCTCTCATTTTGTGATTATCTTACTCTATTATTTCAGATCAGTCTTATTTGTAAAATACCTTCGGATATAATAGTTTATAGGTTATAAAGCTTGTGTAGGAAACGATTAACACGAGTGGTATTACATGGCATTGGACACAGACAGATTACACATTAGTATGGAGATACATTACCTTGCTAGTAATAGTTTGCTTGTCACGCATCTTTCGTAGATCCAAGTTACATCCTTTGTTCTATTGTCTGTGATTCATGTAAAAGATGCTATATTACCATTCCTCCAGTTTGCATTAGCTTATTAGCGGGCGGTGGGAATCGCGAATTATTTCATAATCCGCAATATATTTCAAGCATCTACTACTAGCAACAGGTGCAATAATGAATTTCGGAATTGGCTACACTAGGCTAGTCACAGGCTAATTGTGGCTGCATATATTCTTGTGCTTGGTTACATGCTTACCACTAATATATAACATCTCTAACCATGTTCATTCTTCGCTCATGCTGTTCTAGGTGGTACGTACATACAATTGCACTGAAAACAATTTATCACAATATTTTACGATATCTTCGTATCTCGTCTCTGAGAAAAATTGCATCTGGTTTTATGTCTAGTTCTTTTTTTTATATGTCTTAACTGCTTCTCAATAAAAGATCTCGCTAATATTAATTACATTAAAACTTATTGAGAATGTTTTCCAAAATATGTGATACATTGTCGTTTTATCATATTGTTAGGAAATTAATCGGTATTGATGTAACATTGCTTATACGAGCGAAATACATCTAATTACGCCACAGAATATCTAAGCTAAGTTAAGAAAGGACATGTTTGCGAGAGTAATGATTGCAAGAAGACACAAGGTATGCCCAACAGCATATGAGATGTTTTAAACTACTGTTTCTTGTCCTAATTTCTTAACTATTGCATACGATAGATCCAACTGTGAAATATGTCTGTTTTACTGTACTGGAGTTGACAGATTGTATCTGAAGATAGAGCTGGTCTTACCAGTTTGAATACAAAAGTACCAGATAAATACCATAGTTCTTGTTTTCATAAAAAATTTTTTCCCAAAAAAACTATAATTTGCTGCTTCTTCAACAAATTAACAATGCTTCTTAGTATATTTTTGCTGTTCAGAGAATGCTCGTGTTACATTTGGTTGCAAGTGTACAGAGTTTCCCGTAAAAAAAGTTTGTCATAAAACGCTTGTCGCCATAAAATTGCTATTTAAATTCAATTGACGCAATATAAATATCATTATGCTTATTGTTACTGTGTCACTTAATCACATGTTGCAGCATGTATTCAATAATTCACGTATCGCGCAAGATAGAGAGTCATCTCAACTGATACAGCAGATTAAACAATTGTTTCTTTTTACTCTTAATCTCATGTTTGTTGCACGCTGTCGCAGTGACCTCTATTCAATAAGAAATTGCATGGCCAGCGCTAATTATCAACTGTTGCATCTGTTGTTCTCTTAGTTTTCTCCGAATATAAATGTCGAAAATGTACGGAAATCTTGAAAACGAACGATTTGTAATATGGCGTGCAATTTTTACAACAGGTACTGATGGATATGTTCTATCAAGATGATTGCACGGAAGGTCCGCAAAGTAGCTTGGGCGCAGTCGTTTCGCAGACTTACGAAGAATCTGTTCGGGATCTCATTCACGATGAACGGCATTACATTCGTGACCTGCACATGATCATCAAGGTAAGTGTACCGACAAACGTTAGAATATCGAGATTTCATCGGCAAATCAATTGAATAAAAAGAATTGATCTTCATCCCCAGGTATTTCGTGAGGAAATCGCGAAATTAGCGCAAGATAAGAGCGAAATCGAGACACTCTTCAGTAATATTATAGATATTTATGAAGTCACTGTGACATTACTCGGCAGTTTAGAAGATATAATGGAAATTACAGAAGAGCAGCAAACGCCCACAGTTGGCTCATGCTTTGAGGAATTAGCGGAGGCAGCGGAATTCGATGTTTATATAAAGTATGTATCTCATTGTACGGATACACACACACACACACACACACATATACAGTGTCCCATAGCGTTTTGCGATATTCGTAATAAATCTCGAGATATTTATTAAAAAAGATTAGTGAATGGTAGTAGATATATATGGTAGCGCGACATGGTAGGTCGATGAGCTGTAGTAGCGATGTATGTCTGGGACATCTTGTATATGTGTGTGTATATTTATATGTGTTTGCATATTGTGTATATTCCTGTAAAAGAAAATAAATCTTATTGATAACATTGTATTGCTAGATACGCGAGAGACATTAATAGCTCCGCTAGTCGAGAAGTTTTAACGAATTTATTGTCACGACCTGAAGTTAACGCAGCCCTACGAGCAGCAGGCCATGGTTTTAGAGAAGCCGTTAAATATTACTTGCCAAAACTTTTATTACAACCCGTGTGGCATTGCTTCCTGTATTTTGACTATATCAAGGTACTTTAGCCTCTTATTTGTTGCGTATGTATGTATATATTCATTAGGCACGCTTTTTATCTCGTGCTCTCTTCATCGTGTCTTTTTGTTCTTGAAACAATCGCAGGTTTTGCACAAGCGCACGCCTAATATAGAGGACGGTGAAACCTTAGAGCAAGTACAAGGCTTATTGAGACCGCTACAAATGGAACTGCTGCAATCAGTGGCGAGCCTACCAAAAAAGGACACGGGCTTGCGAATGCAGAGCAGAGCGAGGAGACAGACGGCGCTAGAGAAAATTAGTGAATTACAAAAGACTGTAGATGGCTGGAATCAGAGGGAATATGGACAGTGTTGTAATGAGTTCATTAGAGGTAACGAAAAGACGTCTCGTTATCTATCTGAGTATTAAATTTTCGACAAGGTGTGGTAACGCGCTATAAATGTACATTTCTTGTGCTTGTTTTTATATCAACTGCTCTGGCAATTTCTCTTTGGAATTCAAAACAGTTCTCAAAATGACTTGTTTTCACTGTCTGCTCTTAATACTTGTCCAGTAATCTTCTTTCTCCCATATTCTTTAGAATTTTTCAGTAGATTGCACATTACTTTGTGATTTATATTAATAAATTTTCATGATAGAGCACTCCCACAATTATTAAAACAAAACTCTATCCTTACTTTTATTCGATGACTTTCCTCGATCCATCTTTCAAATTTTTGAAAAAATAAATACTCTAACATTTTCATTGTACAAAGATTTTGTACTTTTAATCTCACAAATATTCGATAACAACTAAGATAATCTAAAAAGATCCTTTAGCATGTTTATACTCGATGAAATATACATCTTTTTTGACATATATTAAGAGATAGACAAGAACGTTAAATATGCCATTGTCTCCCGGATTGTATATCGACAAATTTTACACAGAGGATACATTGGGGAAAGTAGCTAGCAACGGACGGAGAGTAACTGAGAGGAAAGCCCTGTTATTCGATGGCTTACTGGCGCTGTGTAAACAGAGCGGTAGCAAAAGAGTCAGCGTCACCGTTGCTGCGGTTGGAGTAGGACATCCGACGCACCAAGGGGAATTGCGACTAAAGGAGCGATTTTTCATTAGAAGAGTGGATATCATTGATAGAGAAGACACCGAAGGTATGCACCGCGTGACTTTCACATGGAGAATCCGTTATCGATGTTGAATCTGTCGATTCGTAACCGAAATTCTGCCCGCAGAGTTAAAATATGCCTTCGAAATTTCGCCAAGGCTCCAACCGAATGTTATTCTCGTTGCGAAGTCCGTCGAAGATAAGAATAACTGGATGGCAGACTTGGTGATGTTAAATACGAAGAGTATGTTCGAAAGAACGCTGGACAGTATCCTTTCAGACGAAGAAAGGAAGCATCCGTTAAGATTACCTCCTGTTCACTTGTATAAATTCGCCGAGCAGGACAGCGACGAAAATATCGTTTTAGAAGCCAGAGAGAATGGCGGCGTTCCCTTGATTAAAGGGGCAACATTAGTTAAATTAGTTGAAAGATTAACTTACCACATATATGCCGATCCTGCGTTCGTGAGAACATTCCTCACTACTTACAGGTAATGAACTGCACCGCACTCTATCGTGACATTCTCTTTTTTTCACTTGTTATGCAATGTGGCATATCATGAGTGAGTAGTACTTATCAGCTGCTTGCTTTACAGGAGTTTCTGCTCGCCCCAGGAATTATTCTCGTTGCTTATGGAGAGATTTGATATTCCTGACCCTTCGTTGGTATACGGTGAAGAGATACCTACGGGTTGCAAAACGACGGCTAGGGAAGACTGGAAAAGATACAGAAAGGAATTCTGTCAACCGGTGCAGTTTCGAATTCTGAATGTTCTGAGGCATTGGGTGAGCAGCAATGCGGTTTTCCGCTGTTCGTTCCTACGCGATTTTCCAAGTTAATTTCTTTCTAAGTTTTATTCTTCATTAGGTGGATCATCATTTTTACGATTTCGAACGTGACAGGAACCTTCTGGAAAGATTACAATCGTTTTTAGATACAGTAAGTGGCAAGCCTATGCGGAAGTGGGTTGACTCGGTAGTAAAAATTGTACAGAGAAAGAGGGAGTCGTCAGAACGACCTATCACATTTAGCTTCGAGCGATCTCCACCACCGATTGAGTGGCATCTTAGAGTTCCCGAAGAAGACTGGAATATACTTACGGTAAAGAGATATATTACACTTTGCAATCCTTACTTGAGGATATCGTGATTGCCGAATCTCACCGAGATCACTCTCTAATTGCAGTTACATCCTATCGAATTAGCGAGACAATTGACACTCTTGGAGTTCGAGTTATATAGGACGGTAAAGCCTTCCGAATTAGTCGGTTCCGTTTGGACGAAGAAGGACAAGGAGAAGACGTCGCCGAATTTGCTGAAAATGATCAAACATACGACAAATGTAAGTTCCAGTCTGAAATCATCGTTGTGAGTATAAATCGGGCAGTACGTAGTGCTTCATATTACTATGTGCATTGTTGATTTTTTTTTATGCCCTTATAGTTCACGAGATGGCTGGAAAAGACAATAGTGGAGGCTGATAATCTCGACGAGAGAATAGCTATCGTTTCACGTGCAATCGAAATAATGATGGTGCTGCAAGATCTTAACAATTTCAACGGTGTTCTGGCGATCATTAGCGCTATGGGGTCAGCTTCGGTGTTTAGGCTAAAATTTACGTTCCAAGTACGTTCCATTTATACGTATCTGTTTTGCGTATCGCAAAAATTCTCTGAGTTACTCTTCTCTTTACACATTTATATTCCTACAGCAAATACCGGCACGGTTAGAAAAGGCATTAGAAGAAGCGCGAGAACTCAATAACGATCATTTTCGGAAGTATCAAGAGAAATTGAGATCTATCAATCCGCCTTGTGTACCATTCTTCGGTGAGTATTGCGAGATATCAAAACGTCCTCCTTGCTGACTCGCGAGAATATATCGAAAGCGTTCCGTCTTCATTGCGTCCTCTTTGTTCTTCTCTTTTTAGGTATGTACTTGACTAATATCCTGCACATCGAAGAGGGAAATCCCGACTATCTACCGGGAAGTCCAGAGCTCATCAATTTCAGCAAACGGCGGAAAGTGGCAGAAATAACCGGTGAAATTCAGCAGTACCAAAATCAACCCTATTGTCTTTCGCCGGAGCCGAAGATCAGACACTTCATTGAGAATCTGTGCCCCTTCGACCCCAACATGAAAGACGAGGATATAAACAATTACCTGTACAATAAGAGTTTAGAAGTAGAGCCAAGAGGATGCAGGCAACCCCCGCGAGTTGTAAGCGTCTTCATTCACAACACTCGACTCACCTTAACGATGTGAACTATTGTCCGATTACACTTCCTTCCGCCGCAGGCACGCAAATGGCCGGACCTGAACCTGAAATCACCAGGAATCAAAGCCAGAAGTCTGAGTGGAAGGTTGCCGGCTCCGTTGCATACGATAGTTACGTCTAACGTCAAGTTACACGATCCCCCGACGGAAGCGCCTCCCCCTCCCGAATTACCGGAAACACCGCCGCACGCGTCGCAAATCATAGCTTCGCACACAGGGGACCACAACGTTTTCGCATCCGCCTTAGGTATATTACATACACGAGATACATTGTTTCAACATGTGTCCTGTTCAATTGCCGATCAATGATAAATCAGCAACTCTAACCTTTGTATACTCAGGAGCCGGGTTACCTCCGGGATCACCGGGTCCACCTAATATGTTGGGGCTTGCGATCGCTTCGCCGAGTAGTAGCCCTCAATTGGGATCTCCTAGGCACTTTTTCAATTCCGGCACGATAGGTATAGTGGGTGTTCTAACGGGTCTACCGTCGTCGGGCGGAAGCCCCAGCGCGATGCCGACGCCGTCGTCGCCGAGCAACATACCGCCTAGCCAACCTCCACCGCCACTACCACCTAGATCTTATAGAAGACGGGAGAGTTCAATTAGCGAATCGCCGCAACAGGTAACATTAGAAAAAAAAAACAGGAAAGAGCTATTAACATCTAAGACCGGCTTCACACCTTGGCAAAAAGGCAAACGCCAATCAGAGCTTATGCTGTACTAAAAAAACAAATTATCTACTATCACCTAACCATCAGCGCGAGTTTTCTGCTTTTCTACTAAGACGTGAAGTCTCCTTAATTCGACGTTTTAACTCCTGACTTGACTTTGTCATGAGTGAAAAAAATAGTCGTTCAGATGCATACAATAAGTTAAAGTGAGACAAATGTATTTTTTCTCATTCTAATTGATTGCACCAGTTCAGTAGTGCAGCCGAAAAGAATAGATCATCATTCTGATTTGAACACACACACACAGGTGAAACAAGCGCCGAACGCGCCGATCCTTCCTCCGCGGGACATCTCCCCGCCGCCATTACCACCGCGAATCACCACCTTACCGCCGCGACTTCAGCCGACGCTGAGTCAGTGCACCTCGGCGTTACTCGCGCGCCGCAATTCCACATTAGAGAGTACGGGCTGCTCCGTCGCTCAACCGCGGAGGCACATGTCTTTCAATGGCCCTAGCCCCACGAAATTTCAGCCGACGCAGCCTAACGGTAAGCAAAACCAAGATACGTACGATGTTTAAGCTTTTTTTTTCAAATAATACTATTTTACTTATTTACTTGTTTAAATAATACTATTATTTTGCAGGATCAGTGACACCGAGGTTACCGCCCAAGCCTTTACCGGGACGTCCGCCAACTATGTTTAATTTCAACGCCCCTCCCGGACCTAGTTAAGTGTTACTTCTTCCCGGTGGTTCTCTTCTTCCTCTTTCTTTTCCTCTTTTTTTTTTACCTTGTTGACAAAAAATATTATCAGTCGAAGCGCTTAGTCCACGCGGTGAGTTGAGTTCGAACTTTTCTTGTTGCTCGAATTCGTAGGAAAAGTGTGTGTCCCAATAGATCGCATCGATGGATCCCAGATGTAGCGTATTAATGTATATTTATATAGCGGCATTTTGATAAACTGCAAATGACGGACATGCGCAGGAAAGTGACTATCGTATGTTAAAATCCACAACTTTCTCCTGTTGCACATGCGAGACAACGGTCACTGCATGCGCGTTAAAATATCAAGAATGATATTGGACGCGACATTTGCCGAGCGATCTATTTGAGAAACTTTTTCGAGAGATATATTTGGTCGCGTTCACTGTTTGTGGCTAATGGTAGTCTGTGTCCATTGTTTTATGATCTTATTGAATGGACTACGCACAGTTTCAGTTACCTGAATGGCTTCCTTCCTCCTCCTTAAAATCCCTATTTCTCCCTCAAACACAACTGTGATATAGTTTGAAAATGAAAATATGTTAATGTAACTAGGCACTTAGATTAAAAAAATGACAGAGACATAAGAAAGTGATGTACCGTAAAAAAAGTACATATTAAGCGAAATTAATAAGGAGAAAGGAGTATAAATAATAAGTATTTGCATATAGAGTAAATACACATGTATATTATTATAAATATATTCTATAATAGCAATTGTAATAATATCGAGGAAAAGAAATACGGCATTATGTAAAATAAAAAAATATATTGTGTAGCATCTGTAGTATCTCTTTTCTCTTCGTCTTGTACCTACGTTTCACCGCGCGCGAGAAATTTTGCTGCAAAGGACGAGAGGATGCTACGAACGCGCGAATTGTCATTCACGAGACGGATTCGTGCAGCTTGCGGATCATTTTTCTTCCCTCCTCCCTCTTCCCCTTTATTCAAAAACGTCACACGAGGAGTAAGGTACATGTCATACACGGCGTTTGGCTTTATTCTGTATTCATGATCACCTTTACGTAACGAGCAATCGAGCTTTGTGGACGGGAAAAAATGTACACGACAGCGACATAAACGATTATTACGTGACTTCCCACACTGTGGAGCTATCGCTGCGCTTGCTATGCCTATTACCGACGTCAACGTGCGCGTCCAGACTGTCGCTCAATTTACTAAATCGCCTGGTCCAACTGCCCCTGCCGGCGCCGCCGCCGGGTCTACCGATGGTTCCAGCCTCTCTCAGGACCGACAGCAAATCGTCCTCGTCCTCCTTGCCCTTGATCCCCTTCTCATACTTGGCCTCTTGAGCGAGTAGTCGTTCACGTTGCAGCTGAGTCGACAGAGAATGCGGTACGGCCGGTATCACGTAGCTCATGATACCGGTAAGTGCAAAAACCTGTGATTCCAAGAGAAAAGAGAGCAAAGTTTATTTCTGCCTCAACGAACAGACGTGAGGCTCCTGGCTCTTCACCGCGATCGTCACAAGCAAGAAAATACACGTTAAAAATTCTTGCAAAATGCGCTGAAATAAAATTGTATATTTACAAAATGATATCTGCAATCGATCGAGCAAACTTGTAAAACAGTCTGAACACGTTCTTTTTACTCTACAGCTAGTGAATAGCCATAAAATTAACGTGACATAATCATGAGAAAAAACTAAATTAAAGAGAAAAGTTGTATGTCGCATTAATTTTACGGTTATTCACTGATTGCTCCAACAAGAAAAGAATGTTTAACTATTCTGTAAGTCTGCTTGATCGAATGAAAACGTCATTTTATAGATATATCTTTTTATTTTAACGTATTTTGCAAGAATGCTTAGCGTACATTTTCTCGTTTCTGACATCGTTACAACCGAGAACTACGCGGCGAGGCGTCAGGAGCCTTAAAAAACAGAAATTAATTTTCCAAGCAACACAAACGTGTGTAAACGTTTGCATCGAGAGATAAAGTTGAAAGATAAAATATATGATTGACTTACAACGTGCTCGAAGACAACAACAAACGCTAAACGCGCGGCGAAAACGTGCCAATACTGCGGGCTAAGTCCGTAAGGATCGTCCATGTGATCCGGCCCGTTCCTATAGCCCCGGTATTGACACGTGTCCGGATGGTTGTCATCCGCGTCGCTTTTCATATCGTCGCGATAATCGGAAGTATTGAATTCTGACAGAGAGCTATCGATGTAACCCACTAAATCCTCAGTAGTCGAATAAACGAACGCATACACGCTTCGTGGAATAAAGTCGGACGTGTACGCAATAACAAAGGCCTGAAAAGAGATTCGGCTTTATTGATAGAATTCGAGATCGCGCGTTGGACAGCGACGAGCTCAAATCACACATCGAATCACTTCGAATATACGCAACATTGGCTGCATTCAGTAGACTCAACAGTTGCACAACAGTTGAGTAATTTGTCAATGTAATTGGTGTAGATTTAGGGATCTAATAGCAAGAACCAATAATCGTTGATTGCTCACTGAGCGTTTTTTCTACTGAATGCGCCCATTGTATCGCGTGTATGTTTTTTCGCGAATGGCGAAAATGATATTCGAAGCAATTCAATCTTTTGTTTTGGCTGCGTGCAGCAAGAGTTTACTTGAAGTTTACTTGAAAGACACTAACAAGGACACACACACACACAGAGACTCGAATTCAAAAGTCCATCGTCACTTTGCGCGCCAGTCTCGAGGAGCTTGCGTACGTACATTTGACACTACTGCTACGTAAGTAACACCCCTAAGAATACCAAACCAAGCACCAATATCCTCCACTCGCTCAGCCAACGGCCTGCGGGCTTCCTTCACCATTTTATACGCATCCAGCCTGATCTCCGCGATGTTGTTCAGCAAAGCGAACAAAGGCGCTAACGGGAACGCCGCCACGAATAACGTCACGAATCCGTACTGCAGAACTGTCGTAAAGTACACACGTGAATACTCGCAAAATGAATGTGCCGGCGAGAGGAATACGAAAATCGTTCACTCACTCATCTCCAGGTACTCGTCGAACAGAGCCAGTCGCCCCGGGTCTTGAAGCTGGTAGTCCTTCTCCCAGCAGGTGTACTTTCTGTCGTGATTCCGCGTCGCCGCGATCTGCGTTCTCTTACGCCACCAGTTCCACAGTTTTGGCGACAGGATCTCGACGAAGTTGTTGAAGCACTGCTTACCCACCATTATGATCGCGAGTTGGATGCAGACTTCTGAGAGGCAACCGGCCGGGTCGCACACATCCGTCTTGATGCGATAGAATTCCGAGGCTCTCGCGTCCGTGTCGCCCGGGTAAACGTAGAATCTTCCCTGAAAATTATCACGCGGATTAATGCCTGCGAAGAATATAGTTTAAGACTTAGTTTGATATACCATATATCGTTCGCTAATTACCTTGAAGAAGGCGATATAAATCAGAGACGAGTAAAAGTTGACGAATTCAAACAAGAAGATCTTGAACGTGAAGCTGGCTTCGTACTCCGTTTGCGTTCTTGGATTCTCCATGTTGACCATCCACCGTGCCATTCGATGATACACCCGCGTGAGTATCATTATTATCACCAAGTTAATGAGAGCGGCGGTCATGGAAGTAAATATCTTCGCGTGTCTCTTCAAGAAGGAACCACCGCCGCCGTAGAACACAGCGACCAGCGAAATGCGGTATATGATAGTTCCCAGAACCGCGGCGAGGACCACGCATATCTGTGGACGAATGGCGATCGTAATAATCGTCGTGTATGCACTACCGAGTAAATAAACATTGGAAGAAATATCGATTTTATGTGTATCTGTGCGTTTCCACTTAATATTTTACAAATATTTCAAAGATATTGCCGGATAATATGATCTCTTTGAATATTACAGAAATATTTCGGAAATACTGAAGCGTCGAAGTTCGATAAAACGTTAAAAATTACATATTAGAAAACGTTATGTGCTCCTAAATATCATTGCAATAACGTCCCAGACAGCACAATGTTCAAAACTAGCATATAACGCATCTTTAAAACGATTTAGCTCTTGTCCACAACTTTGTTTTAAGACATAAGCCGTAAGAAATTGATCAACTATGGTCGATTTTTAGAAGAATAATTGACTGTAATTGGTCAATTTCTTGCGACCTACGTCTTAAAGCAAAGTTGTGGACAAGGACTAAAAGACGTCTTATATCACAATTTTGGAAATGTGTACTGTCTGGGGTTCTATCGATAATTTCTAGCGATAAAACGAAAATTATTAATCGTCACCATGAAAAACACAATGGAGCCGGTAGCGAGATATCGTATAGCCTTAGACAACGTGGGCAGATACGGTTCTCTCTCCCTCGTCACAGGATTGATCCGGAAGGTCTTCACGGACGCTTCAAACTCCGGTCTGGGTTCTTCGTCGTAGTCGGCATTCTGAAGATCCCATTCCCAGACGATCACGGCTTGTCGCCGCTTCCAGAGCTCAAGAAACGTGGTGGCTGTTACGGCAAAGTTCAAGTCAACCTCGAAACCACGGGGAAACGAAGGGATATTTTCTATTCTGAAGGAGCATGCATTCTCAGGAGACTATATCCTACTCCATTTTTTCCGCGTCTTACCCCAGAAGGACATAAAAATGGCGAAGAAGACGGTAGCTGGATTATCGAACAAGTAGGTCAATTTTGAGAATAAACAGGAATCGCCGAGTTTCTGATAGGTGCACGCTTTGTCGCAAAGGGGACACAGAGTGATGTTTCCTGGAAAGTCACGTGAAATTAGAGATAGAAACAGAGACGTCGTCTCATTTTCACCACGTTCGCGAAAAAACTCACCGGCTATATTAGGATCGCAAATTTCCTTGCTGGGGACATTGTCTACACCCTCCATGCTTCCGAGGCCATAAAAGAAGCACAAAAGACCCACCACCGCCGGCGGATACAAACATTTTGTATAAAAGCCCAGCCATGCGAAATACAGGGCAACTTTCTCACCGAAATATCGTCGTATCAACCACAACGGTTGCTTTTTGTACCTAAACAGGTGAAAGAAGAACATGAAGAGTCTTCTTGAATACCGATAGTATAATACGAAATCTGCACCCCTCACCATTGTCCAGGTCTTGCCCACATCAAATACAACAAATGCCTGTCGAGGATTTCCCCGCTACGAAGGGGCTTGTCGTAAGGACCCTCGTGCAAGGGAAAACAATCGATATACGTTCCGTCCGCCAGGAGCCTGCGAATACCGGACTTCTCGTGGTTTTCATCGTATCTCCCTCGCAATAATATTTGCATTACTATCAACGATCTCTGAGCGGGCGTGTAAGCGGTATCCCTATCCTTTACGATAAATCTGCAGGAGAAAGCCGAAGCTTTAGCCATGGAGCTTGACAACGATATCGGTTCGTGTAGCGCAGCATAATCGATATACCTCTCCTTGCGATCGCCGGAATCTATGCTGCTGTAAAAATTCGGCTCCTCGGGGTACTTGCTCGTGTCCCACGTATGTATCTTCTGTATCCACTCCACCCATCGCATCCATCTCTCCCAGAACTTCGGTATCTCCTCGCCACCCTCTGTACCCTATTTTTAAATCGCGTTATCACTCACGGCGCTACAGAACGCGCTGCAGAATATGACGCGTGTACGCACGTGTGTCAGCTTTAAGAAGAGACGTACCCAAGCTTTCACAGAGATCGTGATGAATCTCTTGGTGGGCAATTTCAGATTCATCACCTCGGCGTACTGCACTTTTATCTTCCACGGTATGTGCAGCTTCAGGAAGTACGTCTTTCCGTCGAAAGAGGTCTCCTTCGACTCCAGCTCCAGCTGCAGACCCTCCTTCAGGAGATTCTGCTGAAAGACTCGACGCTGCTCTCGCCGGCGAGACTCTATCTCCGTCATTACTCCTTCGCTCTCTTCCCGATAGACTAACATCATATCGATCCTTCGACGACCGTCGCTGAAATCATCATATTGGGCAAAAATAGTGAACGCTCGTGGTGATGCCGTCGAAAGCATTAGAGAGTTACAAAAGAGAGATGACCTAATTTTATAACAATAACTCTACTTATTCTATTTATATTGAGGCCGCTTAAAAATAAAGGACCTCCAAAGTTAACGACTTTTTATAGCGTTCTCACTCAAGTCACTCACGTGCGTGCACGCAACGATAAAACTGATAAGATAGATATTACATTTGGAGGAATCGTGTTAGGCACGTTTTAGAAACGAGTATTTTGTATATCTATGTCCGTCCTGCGTACGATGGGTCATAAAATGGTTTAGACACAATGAAGTCAAGAGCTCAACAAACTGTCAAAATTGAGAGTCATTACTGCTTACTCAATAATGTATATTATATGTTATATTAATGTTCTCTGTTATATTAATTATTATTTATATTATTATCAACGAGGCAACATAAAAAAAGAATTTGGCATGATAAGCTAAATGAGATAAAAGATAATGAGATAAAAGATATAATATTTTATAGAAGATTTGGAGAGAAAAGATAAAAGATTTGGAGAGAAAAGATAAAAGATAATGAGATAAAAGATATAATATTTTATAGAAGATTTGGAGAGAAAAGATAAAAGATTTGGAGAGAAAAGATAAAAGATAATGAGATAAAAGATATAATATTTTATAGAAGATTTGGAGAGAAAAGATAAAAGATTTGGAGAGAAAAGATAAAAGATAATGAGATAAAAGATATAATATTTTATAGAAGATTTGGAGAGAAAAGGATAAGAAATTGAAAAATATCAAAGAGAGAAAGAAAACATGAGTCATAACTGTGAAAATACAAAAGATGTAGATATAGGATGTATAGATATATAGATGGAAAATATTAAGAAAATTGTAATAGTAAAATATAGATAGAAATAATTGTTGAGATAGAATAAGGTAGAAGGAATTATACAATGTGACGAATGAGATATAGAGATAAATTAGCGAAAGAAAATTGTGATACTTGTGATATTGTATTTGGTGTAAAAATTGTGATATTAAAATAAGAATATTAGTTGTATATAAAAAAAGTAGTAAAAGGTGGGAAATGGAACGATAAGTGTGGCTAAGAATATTTTGTGTAAACCGAATTTCCTTCTTGGCTGTGTAGCTAAAGTAATATGTACATACATATTAATGTTATTATCATCATATCAGTGTTCTTAATTGTATTGTTATCGCGTGAAAATTGTGTCTCAATTGTTTTGCAACCTGCTGTTTGTCTTAACAATTATCCGAGTGCGTTACAGAGACAAATAATTTTATATCATATCACGTGTGGCCGTAGATAACTACCAACCGAAAATAAAGTGTCTCTGAATCGATTTCCGTTTCCGCCTCTCTCGGTGGCAACGAATCCCTCGCGTTCTCCGGGTCATCCAACGAGCCGGGTGTGTCCGGCAAAGATGCATTGACTTCTGGGGTGGCGGGCGCCGTGAGTCTAGGTCCTGAAACCGATTCGCAGATAGAATTATATGTTATTGCATGCGCGCACAATTCCCCGGCCGACTCGATATCTCGTTATCTCTCCCACGCAATGCTCATGGGAACACGTCGGTTGACGTGACGAACTTCGTGAACCGAATGAATGAGAATGTGCGAATTCCATCTATCAATATCGAGTGCGCGCCAGTGATTGGTACCTGTTGCGTCGTCGATAAATTTTAAAGGCCGACGGCTATTCTCAGACACGTCGCGCGGAAGCGTCGGGAATAGGGCCACTGCTGCAATTCTCAGGACGGCTCGTGAATTCTCTTATTAATACGACGAAAGAGCAAGGTCGCGCGTTACGGCGACGACGGAAACGCGACGTAGACGGGTGCGTACGCGTCTATCTATCGCGCGCGAAGCTCGCAGGCGACCGCGCGTCACCTTGAACACGTATCCATAATACAGCCACCGGCGACATATATACATTCGCAAAACTATGGAAAGGTATTATTACGAAAAAAGAACGAGCGAAAAGTTGGGTGAAGTTAAAGGTTACGAGAGAGCGCGCGCGTTCATAGAATAGATAAAATAGCACCGCAAGTTCCTCGCGAGAGGACTTAAGTCATAAGTAACCGTTGCATTATTAACGTCCGATATTCGTGACACGCTGACATTCGTATGCATATTGATCGAGGTTTACTGACATAGCTTTATTACTATTATAGACGACCGACGGTCGCCGTTGCCGTCGTCATTCCATGAGTGGCTCATTTTTATCCATTTCATACGCGCTCGTGTAGATTGTATCGCGTGTGTGTATAACTATATCTAGCTAGCTCCGTCATTAAAGCGTGATATAAGCTTCGCGAGAGGATTAGCTGAAATTACTCCGTGATGTCCGGGCGACATGGCAGAATTCACGTGTTTGAAATAATGCACAATAGCAATGTTTGTCGCTTGTTTGTTCGCTCGCTCGCTCGCTTGTTCGTTCGCGCGAACATCGTGCATTTCGGCCGTGAAACGGGCAAGTATCTGCTGCCCGGTACTGTATACTGAGAGTGTCCGTTAACACCGAATTAATCGTCTCTCTCTCACCGAAGGCATCCCGCGCCGCCAGGTTCGTCCCGGACGGGTGTATACTGGCTCTCGACAGTTTCCTGTTGATATTAGGCGTCTCGATCGGCAGGTAACCGTTCTTGTCGAGCTCGTAAAGCACCTCCCTATTCGGGATGCAGATCAGACTCGAGTCCGGTGATCCCGGCGCGTTATGGAACCCGCTCTTCGCCGGCGTCGACTTCGCCGTGGAGGTACGGGAGGAGACGTTGCCCGAGCCGCTCGATTTCTCGTCATTGAACTGGGACTCGAGCGGGCTGCCGTCGTCGGGATGAAGGAAGTTACCCCAGCTGCTGGGCCTTCGACTCTGATTAGACTGAAATCATAGGGAACTTTCTGTAGCACTTCACAATAATTCACCCCCGAGAAATCGTCAAAGTTTTACTGACGGTATTGAATCTTGTTGGAAAAGAAGTCTCACTGATCGCGTAAAGAGAGCAAAAGAAAAAAAGACACACACAGATCCGACAGAGCGAAACAGTTGACGAAGAAAACCGCCGCGCGGTCAGAGTTCCAATTTTATGACGGGAACGTTAAGAATGCATGAGCGAGAAACAGAAATGAGTTCACAAGCGACAAAATGGTCGGATGGATCGATACTTTAATCGGGTACGGAAATCAAAAATCAACACGTGCTTTTGTCAGCGCATTACTGTCGGATGAAGAAAAAACGAAAAAAAAAGGAAAAAAACTAGCAGAAGCATATTACGGCGATCAAAGCAGTCCGAGCCGGTGAACGCGAAACTTTGGAATAACAAGCACTTTCTCGCCTTACAGCCGTGCTGGGTTATGGCCTGCGAGGACATCGATATTCCGACGGTTTAGATGTATTATTAAGATATGTGTATATCCTCTTTCTTTAGATCATTCAAATACGCCAATCGTGAACTCGATTTAACTTTGCAAATGTCATTTTCCCTCTCTCTCTTCCTCTTGCCTTTTTTCTCGTCATTTCACTTTCGAGATTTATACGCTAAAATCTCGAATCTCGTGTCTGAACATTGAACTAACTCTAGTATCATAGTTCATTGGGGCAATGTTGACTATAAACTGGGCTTCAATATTGGCCCAATGTTGCAAAGCAGATGCCTTGCATTTTATAGCCAACATAGAATTCCGAATATTAGCAATTCGTTTGTTATTAATATTAGGTTATTGCATATTATATGCTCCATGTACCCTCAATGTATGCCAACATTGGCGTAACTACGTTGTGCAATATTGACAATTTATTCACATTTTATTTATAACTAATATCAGCTATATATTGGCTATGTTTGTACATTTCTAAATTATGTGCATTAAGAAAAAAATTTACTAAATTTCAAAAAACGTTTGTTTAAATACGACTGTGAACATATTTGTTTAAATTAAGCAATTATTTTTTAAAATTAAATAAAGAAATTTTAAATATAAATTTCATTTTTTGATTTTAGAAAATAATTACTTAATTTAAACAAATATGTTCACAGTTGTATCCAAACAAACGTTTTTTGAAATTTAGTAAATTTTTTTCTCAATGTGTATATTGAAGGCTGTTTGAAGTACAGTCAAATTAAGAGAAGTATAAAGCGTCTTCTACAATGGCAGTAGGAGTAGTAGTAAGAAATAAGCAGTAAGCAAATTGACCAATTCCATTCTCACGTTTCAAAAATAATCGATTGTGATTGGTCTATTTACTTACTGCTTATTTCTTACTACTACTCCTACTGCCATTGTAGAAGACGCTTAAGAACCGTGTGCTGAATATATTAATACGAGTAACTAAATTGTGAGAGGATATTGTTTGATAGTGCAAACGCGCGTGCCGAACACTATTCGGTTTTCACAACGTACGCGGTGAATCAATTTACATTGGACCAATGAACTGCGCCACCAGAGTATCTTTATCGGCAATGTGTATGTATACATTGTTAAACATCGATAATGTATAAATTATTGAACAACGACTTTAATAATGTATATTATGAAACAATGACTCACTATGAGAAATATGTTCACATGCGCGGGATGCAAAACCGATTTTCGGTACGGTGCAAAGTATACCTGGCTGTCATCGTCTACTTGCAGCTTGCTATCATTCATGTTGCCGATTCCCGCGAGTCTGTTTCAGTACACGGTCACAAGGCCCGGAAGACTTTCGGCGGGCTTTCGGTACGCACGTCGTAACGCAGTCGCAGCAACACGGGCCGGTATCATCTTTTGCCGGCTGCACGACTTCTCGCGCTGATTGTCCGGACGATCACGTTGCCACGCACGCAACCAAGTCGGCACTTTAGATGACGGCATTCCGGCGACCAGCCGCGGACCGGAGGAGCTCTCTGGTGCCCGGCGGGCTCATCCCGATTCCTTCAGCTTCTCTTACGTGATTGGTCACTCACACGCTCGTCGTAAAAAATTAGCGCGGTATCGCCGATAACACTTCTGGCAAGCCGCTTTCTCGATCACGTCTGCTGGTTAATCGCAAGGAAACGAACATCGATCGGCGTCGATAGTTCGTCGAGTTGGCGATGGCCTCGCGCTGCTCGGCCGGCTCTTGTCAATTATGAATAGTAGCGCTCAACCACGCCTTGTAGGGACTCTGGTCAAGGTCGTGCGCTCCGAGACACCCTTACGGCGGCACGAGGGAAAAGACCTCGAAGGAGTCTCGCCTATGCAATCGGTCCACGTGTATCTTCACAATATAGATCATGATGAGCTAAAAGCGATGCCGGCGTGAGTTTCAATCTCGCGGGTTGTCGCGGCTGAGAATTATCTTCGCGCGATCTCCGTCCTTCTATTTCCCTTCTTGGTCGCCACGTGCGACGAATGGAGCAAAGTCAGGGTGAAGTCGAACGACTTTAGCAGAGTAAGTTATAATTCTATCGCGTCACTACAGTCGGCGAAACGTTCCTGTGGTCAAATTGTCGTCGATCGAACAGGTAAGGTAGCTTCCGCGGCACCAGTGTCACATATACTGACCAACGGATAGCAGTGCGATACTTATATGTCACGCGTATCGTCATCAATGTCGCGTTATTTATGTGGTCGTGGCGCGTTTCATGCCGTGTGCGCGTGCCTTCCTCATACATCATGTCCCTCGAGACAGTGTGAGTCGTTGTCTGCCGCGTACATGCATGCACACTCGTGTGCTGTGTGTGTGTGTGTGCGTGCGTGAACGCGCGTGAGCGCGGGGGTGAAAATTTCACCCCTGGAGCGCGATCACGTGCACACATGTGCGCGAAGCGACGGAATGTCGGAGTGGCTAAACCTTTTCAAATCGCTATGGTTACTTGATACACACAACATGTGCTGCACATATCGCGTACATTAAACGATGTAATCCGACTCCTACTTGAAACTTGAACTCGAAGCACCAACGTACGACGGGACGACGGCCTAAGGATCCGTGCCCGCGTTGCGCAACAAATGATGATGCGACGCACGTACGATATCTGGATAAAAAAGACATCACGTTAATGTAAGAAATCAACGAAACGGCAAAATCATCCTTCTGATAAAATCTCGCGGCGATTTTGCCCACACGTGCATCTCGGACGTTCGAGTTCACACAGCTCTGAATTTCAAATCAATCGCGAGTGCGATCGAGTTGCGTTAATAATTCATCGACGTAGTCGATGTAACATTAGGTCGGTCGATGACGACTCGATAATTACCGGCTGCAATTTTCAATCAGTTTCGGACGGAGTGCGAATGGCCGCGATGGGAACGAAATCCAGCGACGCATAAATTTGGACTCGCGTTTGACTAGTGCTGTAGTTTCGTACGCCATATTTACGACGCTTGTTGAGTCAGTCAACAGGCAAACCCACAGTGACCGCGTTCAGTTTTGGATGTTGTCGTCTTCCCACCGTCGAGCAGTTCACTTGTGTGTCCTTTCGTTTACCAACTGACACGGATCATCACACGATATTCTGCATGAATAAGGCTCGATCTACATCTCGTTAGATTTCTATGTTGGAGATCAAGCGCATTGTAGCAAGAGACTAAATATTATTCAGACGTTCCAATAGTACGGAGTTGGGTGTGTCAAGATGCGTGCGGTCAGTTTAGTTGCGATCTGCGTGTTTCTGCAAACAGGTAAGCAAGATGTTGTTGTAGTGAAAACATTCGCATGAGCAATTTTCCATTATAATTACGTCGAGATGCAAATCGTTTTGTTCACGATTCAAAGAACGGAAGGATTGTCGTCATCTTTGCTTCATATATAACTTAATGACTAATATAATATATTGATTACCACACACTGAGAGACAGCATACGCAGCACAAGTAGCAATTTTGAATGGACGCTATTCGTTTTCAGTTGCGGCGCAACGTATCCCGACAATATCGCATATCACGCAGGAGCAGGTGAAGGATATCGGCGAGACCGTAGAATTGCAATGTTCGGTCCAGTATGCGGAGGAGTATCCCATTATGTGGATCAAAAGAAACAAGCAAGGCTCTTTTGACCAAGTACCAATTTCCACGAACACTGCATTGATGATCCGAGACAGTAGATTCTCCCTCAAGCATGACACAGGATCTTCTACTTTCATCCTACAAGTAAGAATACTACAATAGAAATATTTTCATTAGAAGAAATACAATGCCCCTCCCCCTCCAGCAGGAGTCGCGCGCTGGATGTTACCACGTTATTAATAAAAATTAAAGTAAATGCATAATTGAGATTCCAGATCTGGTGGGTCGATCAAATAAAATGTGATAATGAGAATTTTCAAAGTCGAGTTTGATGTGAAAGTTTTGATTCATTACGTACGTTGTGAAGACCGAATAATCAAATAAGTATCTCAAGCTCTAAAGGCAAAACCTACTTAAGAGAGAGAAATAAGGCCATTAAGAGCTAGATTCTAGATATTCGTGCAATTTTTATAATGAGAAGGATAATTTTTATAATGTTTGTGGTGTTAACGCATTTTTATTATTCTCTCCATTATAAAAATTGCACAAATATCTAGTATCTAGCTCTTAATGGCCTTATTTTTCTCTCTTAAGACCGAATAATGTTCAACGCGCGTGTCAAACAATATTATCCTTCCACAATTTAGTTACTTGCACTAATATATTCAGCACACGGCTCTTGTAGGCCTTCTCTTAATTTGGCCGTACTCCAAACAGCCTTCGATATATGATTTAGAAATATTCTGACAACTACATATACGTACACTCGTTTGCGAGACAGTTTTAACATATTTTTCTGGCATATTTTAAAACATATTCGACATCTAATTAAAGAACTTATTTTCTGAAAAGTATTCAGAAACAAATTCTCCAACTGAAGAAGGTGCATTGAAGAAAAAACGTTTAATCTAAAGAATAATTAAGAGTCAACAAGAACCTGTACACAGCTGCAATAATGCAAACAAACAAGTAAAAAACTTGAAACTGCGACTTATAGTAATAAAGAGAGTAGTATTACTTATAGTAATAGAGAAAGTTTATTTCAGTAATAAAGAGAGAAATATCCTCAATCTCAGCAAAAGAGAAATAACAATGCTAACTAGACTTTTAACAGGGCAATATATAGTACTTTGTATGAAAAAACAATATATATATATATATATATATATATATATATATATATATATATATATATATATATATATAATACTCTGTATAAAAAAAATGACAAAGCATATTTTTCGCTTTTACCTTAATATGTAATCACAGACTATTGTATCTTGAATAGGCAACGATAATACTTATTAAAATAAAGATGCACTCTAAAGTCACTTTGAAGTTTAGTTGAAGTAACTCACATAACAGCTCACATAATAGCTTGAAATAACTCTGAAACGCTGATAAGAAAACAATTACAAAAGATCTTTGGTCGAGGTGACTAGAGGTTTACAAATCTATTTTTTTCCACTAATAATAATAAACAGTCAATAAATATAAAATTTATTAATCAAAATATCCAAACGTTTCAGTCCTCAATCAGACCCTCTTTAGTGGTAGATAAAAGTATACACTAACTTTAGACAATAAAACATATGTAAAAAGAATAATATAAATAATGTAAAAAGAATAATGAACAGAGTTTTTTGTCTCATTACACATGTGCATAGGCTTCTATTGGACTTTAAACATTGTCTTCATTGAATATCATCAGTTTTCTTATTCTTGAAATTTCTTGATTTTTAAAATATTTTCCAATAGTAACCGTTTCGTAAATGAGTGTAAGGTAAAATTACCAATGCTCGGACACATATATAATTTTTAACATTTTTATTACTTTGGTCTTTAAGACTCCTGATCCTCCGTTACGGTCATTTTGGTTTATAACGTCGAGGAAATGCATGTTTAAAATTTCAAAAACATTTTCTCATTATTTTGTCGAGTGTGAATATTTAAACTTTCAACATAGAATATATATACATATATAGAATATATGCATATATTCTGTGTTAAAAGTTTAAGCACTCGTATTTGAAAACTAAAACGTGTTAGAAATTCACTTTCATTTTTATTTCAGGAATTCATTTTTATTTTTACTTCAGAAATTCACTTTTATCTTATGTCCCTTTGTTACTGGCACATTATCGAAACATTACTCCTGTCACTCTAGATAAAAGATATACAAGAAACAGATGCCGGATTTTACCAATGTAGAATTCAGCTGACATTAAATAACATGGTAAACGCTGAAGTGGAACTATTAGTTCGTAGACCACCGATAATCAGTGACAACTCCACTCAATCTCTGGTAGTTAGTGAAGGACAGAGTGTTGAGTTAGAATGTTACGCCAATGGATATCCCACACCCAGGATATCTTGGCGCCGAGAGAACAATGCCATTTTACCCACTGGAGGATCGATTTATCGGTATGACGATTAACGCAAGATATTGTTAGATACCTGAGTTACTTCGTATTGCATGAATAAATATTGCATGAACGTCTGTTACAGCGGTAACAAAATGAAAATGACCAGCATACGAAAAGAGGATCGCGGAACGTATTACTGCGTAGCTGAAAACAACGTTGGACGTGGTGCCAGGCGCAATATTAACGTGGAGGTCGAATTCGCGCCGGTGATCACAGCCTCGAGACCGCGACTCGGACAAGCACTGCAGTACGACATGGATCTGGAGTGTCACGTCGAAGCGTACCCACCTCCAGCCATCATTTGGCTCAAGGATGACATTCAGCTATCGAATAATCAGCATTACAGCATATCGCACTTCGCGACGGCGGACGAATACACCGACACGACAATTCGCGTTATCACCATAGAGAAGCGGCAATACGGAGCATATGTATGTCGCGCGGCCAACAAACTCGGCACCAGTGAAACCAAAGTCGAACTTTTCGGTAAGAGAATGACGGAAGAGGTATATTCGCATTTTTCTTACGTACATGATACATCGATTGTAGATTACGTGTCTAGTTGGAACGATCATTGCTGGATGCGAACTCCCTGTTCAACACGTTGACTGTGCATGACAATAGTGAGATTCCGTTCGCATCTTCTTATTTGAGTTGTAAACTTTGATACGTGTTGAAACGTACATTTTTATTGCGTTCCTTTATCCCACTTTGTTTTCCAAGACCTTCGTTTCTTCTCTTTTATCAGTTAATTACAGTGGACTTGTTTCCGTAGTTAGGCATGTCTTAGATGTGTCCCTTCCGTTTTTTTGCGCAGAAACTATTATCCCTGTTTGCCCGCCAGCTTGTGGTCAAGCTCATTATGGAACTGGTGTAGTTCCAGCTTCCTCAGGACTTTTGGTAGCCCTAGTTTTAATAGTTGCAATCACAATGAGGTAAGTTATTGTTGTGTCCTTAAGAGAGTATCATGATAAAGTTTCTCAAGATAATGATGTCATTTCGATTGAGACCGCAAATCGATCTCTCTATGTGTGTTTGCTACTTACAGAAATTTCCACGCCAAATATTAACTACCCGGGTCTCCAATGGGCAGCCACAAGTCGATGTGTACTCTCAAAGTGGCTCTTACGCAGCATAATTGTTGTCGTTTTAGCGATACTGTAAAACCAAAAAAAAAGCTAGTTTTCGAGGGTTTTTCGAGGGATTTTCAATTGATATTTTAATCGAATACTAACATCCAAATTGCGTTATTACTTTTAGAATTATTTGCGAACAAAGCGATTTATCATCATCGTCAATGCAAAATGCGATTATCACATACACACACACACGATGGATATATAATTATAATAATTCGCATTTATGTATGCGAATTTGATATTAACATTTACATTTCGCTAAGTTCATTAGTTTTTTTTACAATGCTTCCACTTGACTCTTATAGAATCTCAATTTTTTTATATACATACATATCTATAAATACGTAGTACCATTTATAGAATCTCTATATCATTTTACTGTAAGAAATATGTTCTTTAAAACATTTTCATGACTGATTTCTGTCTGTACGATATTATAATATTACACATAGTGATATTGATCTTTATTGAATTGTTTACAACGAAATTTTAATATTGGTTGAATTATTTACAACGAGATTATAATATATTATTTAGGAAATATTGATTGCTCAAAAACGATGATAAAATTAATGAAATATTAAAAAAAGAAATGACGGTGTATTTAGTGTGATTTTCTACTGATCTGCCATGTTGACTCGGTACTTATTGGCAGGTCATATTTGAAGATATAATTCATGTAACTTATATTTAGGGGCCAACAGTATATCAATGTTGATAAAATGCAAATTAGATGCATTCCAGTACTCTTGATCATATAACCAAGTATTACGTAATTACCGATATAGCAGATAACGTAATGGAAATCTTTTGGCCTGATGAACGACGGAAAAATAAAAAATAATCACGTTACAACATATATTATATGTAATCTCATAGTTTGTTATAGTTGCAAATCGACAATACGGATTTGTTGACATCATAATACCAGAAACCTGACAGTAGAACTGCCACAATAATCCTTTAATGAAATAGTTTGGTATGTCATGAACAAAGAAAATAATGTTGATATTAGTGCCTTGTTCGTGATATCAAGTAGAAATAAAATTATCGATGTATAGCTGTAGGCAGTATATTATATCATATATTATTAGTACATTATACGTACATTATTAGAAGATACCTCGTACATTTTATACGCATCTTTTACTTATTGCGTACTTACAAAGGGAATGTTAGTTTCCCTTTTAACGAGGCGTATCGTATAAACGTTCTATGATACAATAAGTAGGCAGGTAGCAGCTCGATAAAAACATTTTTATATACTCTTTACAAATTTACAATTTTATAGGTACTAACATGGTAATTCTGACTCGCATAATATATATGCATCATCTCTTCTAAAAAGCTATTATACTCATAACACATGTAGTAACTTTTAGTACTTATACACGTTGCTCTGCGATAATTATATACTGCTGGATATGTATTATATCTGCGATATTCCGCGAAAGTTTTATATAACTACTTTCTCCTTTATACTACGATATTGTATTTTACGACGTAAAAGTGTACGTTTATTCTCATCTATCAATGGAATATGTATGAAAAACACACGTGCATATGCATGCGAGTAATAAAATTTTATTAAAGCAAAGGTTTCCCTTATTTTTTATAAGCAGAATTACAAATAGAAATATTAGTACCAATAATAAGAATACCATTTCATAACTTGAAGACAGCTTTGCTTATTTCTCCCTTTTTCAACGCGTGTATAGCGTCCTCATGTTGAGACAAAGAGAATATCTTGATCCCTAATTTATTGTAATTGATATATTTCTCGGACATCGCTTGCAACAAAGCTAATCCTTTGCTGAAACTGTAGGGGTTTATATTCACTCCTAAAATGCTCAATTCCTTCTTATAAATCTGCCAACAAAATAAAGTTCTTTCAATAAGGAAAACTAGACATAGCGAGATATTCAGCGAGGTGATATCATCAAATTCACCTGAAACGGTTCGATTGTCAGCTTTGTTTGCGGAGAGGCGACACCAAATACGCACAAACGACCACCAGGACCCAATAAGGACACTGCTGCCTCCATAGCCGGGCCGGAACCGCTACAATCCACAGCTACGTCAAAATTCCCTTTCATTTCACTCGGACTTTTAATATCGTAATTCAAACCTACACGTGTAAATATATGTCTTCGTTATTTCTCTCCAACAAACTTTCCATACTTTCTATAATGCAATATAGTGATGATCTTTAAAAATAGCTCAAGCGAGAAAGATCTATATTACCAAGATTGTCGGCTATCTGTCGACGTCTTTCTTGTGGTTCAGAGATAGTGACAGTCTTGCGGAGGCCATGTAGATGAAGCAAACAGGTCCACAGTAAGCCTATAATACCAGCACCTATTACGAGAACTTTACTTCCTACATTCACGGGATTAACTTTGTCCCAGCCGTGAGCCAGGCACGACAACGGTTCGCTCAGCACCGCCTGATGCATTTCCACTCCGTCCGGAATTAAGTACACCTACGAATTCATAGATACGCACTGCAAATACATAATTAACGCGGAATATGACGACGAACAGCGCAATGCGCTACACGCGCAATAACGTATCGCATACCTGCGTTTCTGGGACCAGCGCGTGTGTGGCCCATCCGCCGTTTCTGTAGATTCCTATAGTATTGTTTATACCGCCGAGCTCGCAATAGTGGTAATTCGCATTGTGACAGTGATCGCACTTGTTGCATCCGTTGTTGGGATCGACGGCGACGCATTGGCCGACTTTAAAGATCGTTACATTCGATCCGAGCTCGTCGATCGTACCCACGAACTCATGGCCGAGGGTCACAGGCCCGTCTTCTTTGCAAGGGAAGGATCCCTGAGGGAAATATTTTTAATTATTGGGGAAACTTTCAAAGCAACATCGTACGACACGTACGTTACACGTAGTGTAACATCGGAGCTCACGATACAACGATAACGTGATATGACGATCGACACAAACAGAATCCAGTTATATTATCGAGGGTCATGTCACATTTAAGATAAGAGTGCATTATCGCACTATGACAAACGAATTACTATCGTAACTCATGGCTACTCTGCGCAGCTGAAAACGTTTCAAAGAATTCTTTAATTCACTAGCTCGAAAAAGCTTTCACGTTGCTGCATTTTGCAAACAGCAACAGAAAACTTATAAATAGTACAATAGAATTACACACAAAAAGTAACGCTGGCCGTCTAAAATGTGCAGAGTAAGCTTGGCATAAAAAGTTAAAGTAAAAAATAAAAACAATTTATTTCATTTTTACGCCTACATTGAGAAAAATTATGCGATAAAAAATTAACAAACGGATATTTCCGATCAAAATATTGATAAATTTATGTATCATCAGGAAACATGAAGAGAAATATCGGTTCATAATTTTTTGATTGGTTTATCTGATGAAATATCATTACAATCGGAAGTATCTGATAAAATTTAATCGAATATCCTAATGGGATATAAAAATTGATTAAAATTTGGTCGGAAATATTCGTGTGTTAACTTTTTATCGGATAATTTCTCTCAGTATATACTCCAATTCCTTTATACTGGAAGTATTTCTTTTACTTAGGAGAAATACTTCCGGTGTAAGGAAGTTACAGTATAAGCGTATATAAAAGAAATTATTTTTATGCTACACCTTACTCTCTGCATATTGTGGGCGGCCATTGAATCATTGCTCTAATGGAATGCTTCGAAAGATCTATTCTTTTCGACTAAACTGGTGCAATATAAGATAGACTAAACTGTTGCAATATAAGATAGAATGAAACAAATATATTTTGTTCCACTTTAACTTATTGCATCAAATTTAGCAGTTTAGCGATTCAGCTAAAAAGAACAGACCTAAAGTTACACAAGTCTATAACAATAACTTACTTCTAAAATATGAAGATCTGTTCCGCAGATCCCAGAATATGCAACTTTGATTCGAACTTCATCGGGCGCTGGCTTAGGAATATTGTCAGATTTCTTTAAAGTTAGCGATTTGCTGGACAAGTCGAAACTCAGATATTCCATGGTGTGATATACGATCCACTCGAAGCGCCTTTTTCGACAATACTGAGAGATAGGATTACCCTCATTCGATATTTATATTCAGTGTTAATGATTCACGATTTAAACATTATCTTATCTCGGAAAGCTCGGATGTTTCGCTTGAATATTTTGATATCATATAGACACAATGATTAGTTATCGTTAGTCCAATGTTATACAAGATTGTAAGTACATATTGATTAAAGTGTGGTCTACAATGGCAGTAGGAGTAGTAACAAGTAAGCAAATAGACCAATCACAATCGATTATTCTTGAATCGTAAGAATGGAATTGGTCAATTCGCTTACTTCTCATTATTCCTCTTACTGTCATTATAGACCACGCTTAAAGCTTGACAAATAAGTACGCAAACGCGCGACAGCTTGCGCCTTATAATGTACATATGATTAAGCTAATGGCATACGCGAGTAATTGTAGTTATAATGTTGAGATAAATGTGACATACAACTACTGCACAAAAATATACACGATAAAAGCACCAATCGAATTCGATCGCAATCGAGAATTCCGAATAGTCAAGCTTACGTTCTCGATAATTCTCGACTGCGACGTTGATCGATCGGCTCGAGTTCTGCCGCTTCAGAGTTTCTGACTTGGTCCTTAAAAGGCGACTTTTGACGATCGTTTGGTACATGTATCAGGTTGTCTTTGGACTAGTTTACGCGAAAAATTTAATGTACTAAATATCTATACAGCATATTCAATGTCTGAAACATATTCTAGAAGCGTCCCAGAGATATCTGAATGTTTCTCGAATATATCTTGGACATTTGTGATGCATGATTATTTAATACATATATCAAATGTTTGGTGTAAATTTGTACAAAACTGTACAAATTGTGTACAGTTTGTACACAAACTGTATTTTATATGTATATATAGTTTTGGTAAACGATCGGCAAAAATTGCCTGAAGTGGATTAATGTCGAACAAAAGGCGCCTAAACGATGCGCTTCTTTCGGCTCAAATTGCGCGCATAGAAATGAACTGTAACGGAAGTATTCTGTTTCACGGAGAAAGTTCGTGGACTTTCTCGAAGACGTGACGTCCGAGACGTGTGTACGGGTGAGTGGATGTCGACTAATCGTGGCCTCGAGCATAAGCTCGTTCTTCCGCCGCGGCACGACGGCGATGCAGAAGCGGAAAATTCATTCATGCACGGCAGCAGATCGACTCGGCTATGAACGAGCGTCCTTCGATTCATGAGAAATTTCGGGTCAACGGGACACAGAGCTAACTGGTTGCACTGGGAAACCGGAAATGAGGTCGAGAATGACGTCATCGCGCGTTCACCGCCGTTCATTCAACCCCCGGGGATAAACTGGGTTACTGGGACACAAGCCACCCCTCTATCCTGATATTTCGAAAGAAAGATTTCCCGGTTCTGGAAAGCCGGGAGACCTCGCTCCACTCACAATGCAGCCGTGCGTCATGCGTAACCGCCGCCACCGCCGCGCAAATCGAAAGGGACCGAGTTTCAATGTCGGGCGTGATACACTGAAAATCACACAATTGCATTCGCACCTCTCCACCTCTCTCTCTCTCTTCCACTCCACGAATGGAACAATGTCCATGGTCAGTGCGCAACGGTCCCAAAGGATGGCTACAAGTATCCTGATAACCCAGTTTAGAATCGATACGATGTATCTGAGGGAACAGTCGAACAGGCGTGATCCCAACCGACGTCATCGCTTCCGAATTAGGTCGCTCCGGGAAATGTATCGTTTAAAACGTCGGGTCGCTCGCACAGGACGCTGTAGAATTTCGCCTCCCTCGAGTGCTCTCTCTCCCTGTCAGCCTGCCCGCCTGGACGGAAGTCGTTCGAGGGGCAAAAATCCGATTCATCACTCCGTCGCATTTCTCTAACGGTCCAAGGAATACGGCCTCTCGAAAGCTTCAGCGACCCACGAATTGACATTTAAGCGAATAGCGAGACGAGCAGAATAATGTGATGAGCAGTGAGTATATAAACATTTGCGTTTTATTCTCGTCCGTAACTTCTGCGAACGCGGAGAGAGAGAGAGAGAGAGAGAGAGAGAGAGAGAGAGAGAGAGAGAGAGTGGGTCGAGGGAGTGATCTACTTAGAAGATTGAATATCTCTGTAGGAAAATTTCTGGCTCGCGCGTATTCATAATAAGTAGCCAATGGCGGCACGTGGTTTGGTTTCTGAACGAGCTGCAAGGTGAATGGACCGTTCGACGTCATAGCTCTCAAAGTAGGTCGTCGTGGACGAGCCAGGGTCGTATCGCCTTGTCCCTTGTTATTGCCACCGCGACGGCAGTACAGTTCATTGAAAAACCGCGACTCGATCAATATACCCCGGATGATCGCGTTAACAACAATTTACCAAGCGGCACAATAACGAATTCTTGGCACCCTTTGACCTACGAGCACAGCTGGCGCTACGGCTTATGCCGAACAGTGAGCGCAAGCACGGCGGACGATTGAGAGGGACAATAAAAAGAGAAGAAGAAAAAGTGGAATGAAGGCGAAAAGGGGAGAAGAAGGAAAAAAGAAAACGGGAGGAGGAGACAGACGCATGAACGGAAAGCGGAAGCGGCCGAGCCGCTCGCTCAATGAAAGAGCTCTATCCCCGCGAGCGGATGCGAATGGGTAGGCAGTCCATTGAAGGTTGCACGGCTATTCGCATTGCGTATGCGCAGCTTCGCCGTTTCTCTTTATTCAGCGAAAGACGCACTTGCTCCACTCGCGCTCGACCGTTTCTCTTTCCATCGTGCCCGAAGTAATGGTAAAGATTACTCAAGTACTTGCGAGTCCCCTTGTGAAGAGTCGAATTTAGCGTCCGAGATAAATCTGTAAAACAGCGACAGTTTACTTGCAGACCAAGCAAGTTTGCGCTCCAAAATATCCTTCTTGAGAAAATTTCGCTCGATATTCTATAGTATTACATGTAATACATGAACTATAAATTGAGAAAAATTTTCCTCAAAAAGAGTGTTTTGGAATGCAACCCTAAAGTCAAACGACGCCTAAAGCCCACACGCCAGCCGGATAAGAAACAGACTCAAGTACAGTCGATGTTTTAAAATACGGACGGGTGAGTCAAGGCGCTCCCCGCGATCTCCTTCCTGCTTATTTCGCAGTTACGTGTGTTTCGAGGTTTTTTCCGGTTAATCATCGATTATTCCGTGCTTAAACGCGACGAACGAACGGGAGCGCGCGCGCGCGTCCGCACACATACGCCGACGAGACGTATGTCGAGGAACATTCTGTTTTCTACAGCCCGACTAACCGGAAACCGGATGTGACGTAGTCGCGTTCGGTCTCCTGCCACCGAACACTGCGGAAAAGCGTCTATTCTCCGACGAAATAGACTAATCCGAGCGTCCGGGAGAAATCAAGACATCTATTCTCGCGCGTTCTTGTCTGCGAACATCTGCGACTGAGAGAAATTACTCGATGAGAAATTAACAAACGGGTATTTCCGGCCAAAATATCGAAAAATTTTTCTATCCGATCGAGAAACATCTGATGAGAAATGTTAGTTCATAATTTTTTTATTAGTTTATGAAGTAATCGGAAGTATCCGATAAGATTTAACCGGATATCCTGATTGGATATAAAAATTCATCGATATTTTTATCGAAAATATCCACTTGTTAATTTTTTATCAATTTCTTTCAGCGCACGTTGATATTACATTGAAAAAAGATTTTTATTGTTGTCAAAACGATAATTTGATACATTGAGCCAAGATCTGGTTAAAATGCGACAAACCAAATGTTTGGTAGCTGCAATTAAAAAACTAATTGCCGCTGTGTTTTGCTTTTTTCAATAATAGATATACTTGACACAAGTAAGAACACGGTAATGCTAATCGAATTGCATGTAGCAAATATTTTAGTCCCACAAATGCAAAAATAATGTTTTCAGTGTGACACTAAACGGAAAAATAAAAATAGAGACTGATAGCATATACATCCAGCAAACATCAATTATCAGTAGCATAACGTCAGTACTATTATGTCATACTATTTCCCACTCAATAATGCAACTGTTGCACAACGCACACGTTACGTTACATTTCCATGTTGTTGAGTGGGAAATTATAACATTGATGCAACGTTGCTGTTATTTGTTGTTTACCGAGCAGATGCAACGTCACAGCAACAATATGACCTTCGCGCGAGGTGTAGTAAATCTCTGATGACACTACCACCAAGGCCAAGAGCCCGTGTCCGTCTTGCATCTGGCCGGAAGAGGATGTGACGTGTCGCTCAGTTGATTAAATCATTAGCGAAAAATTTCATTCCTGTGCAGTCACCGAGTTTTATTAGATAAATCGCTGCACGTATCGATGTGTGTGTACGAGACGTCAGGCGTGCGTCTTGCGAATCGCCACGGCGGAAATGTCAAGAAAATGAAAAGTGTGAACTCTGCCACGCGATTGACGATACAGCCGCTAAGCGACACCCAGACGTTCCTCCCGCGGGGAGATCGACACCGAATACATTCCGTGTATATTTCGTCGTCGAGGCTACACGCCAGCAACATAATGTCGATAATGACACGTGTTCACGTACACGTGGAGCCGCGTGTCTGAAACTCAAAAGGCTGCTGAAAGGCGATATTCAGAAATAGCCCCAAAACTCTGTATCGTTAGGAGTCTCTCTCTGTTTCTCTCACACACATACACACACTGAAAATTTACTCTGCATGAATGAATTTTGGTAAGACAATTATCGAACTAGAGTCTCGTGGAACTATATCTGGACTTTGCGCTCTCTCTCTTTCTCTCTCTCTCTCTCTCTTTCTTCTACCCTAAGTTGCCAACTCTCTGTACATAGCGCCAGGCTCTTTTAAAATATTTTCACTCGTTTCTGCCGCAAAAATACAGCGTACGTGCGTACATCGCGAATACTCCGAAACATTTCACTTTCCTTGCGATGACTCTCCAGAGTCAGTCTTTCTCTTCGCAATTTTTTTGAGTAAGATGTGTAAGATCGACAGAGAGGGAGAGGCAGAGAGGGAGAGTAGAAGTTTGCTGCGTGCGTATCGATTGGGGACGCTGTTCGCCGACGAGACTAGCCTACATTCTATCCCCTTTCTTCACCCTTCCCGGCGAAGGCCGGTTTATTTCCCTCCCTGCACCCTCTCGTCGACCTACGTTCCGAGTTCTCATTCAACGTCGCCTCCTCTCTGTTATCTCTTAGCTGGCTCTACTACCCCACGTCTCTATCCCTCTTTTTTTCTATTTCAATTCCTTCTCTCTCGACTGATGCTCGAAGAGCTTATAGAAGAATAAGGGTGACGAGCCGAAACAAATAACGAAGAAATAACACGTGAGAAGAGAATCGGTATCGTCCCTTTCATTTATACTGCGAAAAGACGATCGTGTCGTGCGTAAGGAGCGCAAATGGGGGCAAATAACAGTCGATGTGCACGTTGTTTCCCGTTGTAACGATGAAATTTGCATCGATACACGTGCATAATCGATATCTATAATGGATAATTTCCAATTTCCTGTATAATCATTGGAGTAGATAATCGCTGTTATATCGCCATGTCGGACGGAAGCCCGTCGGAGGAACGACGAACACGAAGGGACGAAAGAGAGGCGGTGATCGCTGATTCTCTTCTCCTCGACACTGTCATCCACCATCGGCAGTATCGCCCTAGGATACCTAGCGTACAAGGGTCGGTAAAGCGAGGCCACGTACCGCGCCAGAGGGAGGGTGGGTCGGATCCGCGTATCCGTGTCACGAATGCGCGCGTCTGCACACTCCACCTCGCCACCCCTTGGCGGCCAGCGAAAGAGGTGAATGCAGTTGGCCGTCATTTTGCAATCCGTTCAGACGCCATTCAGATGCGTCCGATGCGAGTACCCGACATCGCGCGAGTTACCTGCAGAACGTCTCCGTCGTCCTCGACACCGATGTGCACAGGGTGATGCGGGCGATCTCGACGACGTCCTAACACGTGACAACGCTCCGAAGAAGGGAAAGGGCCGTATCCTCTTTCGTGTCTTCATCTCCACAAGGTAATAATCGTGACGAATATATCCTCCGAGTAGTGTTTAGAGCGATCAGTCAGATTGAGTACGGATGTGTTTCGACAGCACCATCTGAAAACATTTCGCTGTATTCGCTTGACGTCTTAAGTCATCGTTCAGAGTCTCGGTCCGAAGATCGCACGATTCTTCGGGAATTCTTTGACAAGTAACCAAGTAATTCATATCGCATATCCAACAAAATGAGCAACTATATCTTTACATCTTTCATATAAACGAGAACTGTGTAAATCGCGTCATTCATGGATCACGTCGACGCGAAGCACATTCATCTCCACAAGTTTACAATTTATTTTACAAATCATTAGAAACGTATTCTTGGACTCGATATTCTTGGTATATTTCCAGCGATCAGTCGCAAACTCAACCGTTCACGACCCTAGACGTGAATAACTCGGCAAATTTTTTACGAGTCACGATATGACGGGACTTTGAACTCTGAACCGATTTGACAGCTTGGCCTTTCCGTACGTAATTGCTTATAATTAACGCGTACGGCGCGTACAGCGGACAAAAGAAGCTTGCACATTCCGTGTGCCTCTCTTTCTTTTCTTTTTTTTTTAGATAATTTTATACAAAACCAGAAAAAATGCTATAATTTTATCGGTATATTAATACATCGATACGAGTTGAAACGGTGTATTTTTAATAAAAACATCCTCGTGTGTGTTATTTTTTCACACTCGCATAAATTTAGTTCAAAAAGAATGAGGTGTGTAGATATTTTTTCATCGTTAAATATGCACGAAATGCGCGCTGTAGATGCTTACCCGAACAAAGATGTTTCTTGTGATTTATTCTGATTGCATATCTAACGACCTTCTTTCTTCTTTGATTATATTCGTCCCCATCATTAGTGAGACGAGACTATTTTTCAAGCTCTTATCCTTCGCAATCATTTGAGTTTCCTTCCCTCGACCAATCGTCGTCGGACAATTTTACGCAAGTGCGTATATTCCTGGATGCGTGCGCCCCACGAAAGCTCGCGAGCTCCCTGCGGAAGGATGAATGGGAATAAAGTCAGTCGGCGGAGTGAAGGCTCTAACATTCGTACGGGTTTTTCGTCGTTTCGAGACGAATCTCGAATGTCGCTCGCTGTGCTCCAATTGTTTCTCTTCTCTCGCGCAACAAATTGCAGATACGTAAGACGTAAGTGACCGGCTATGTAATTTATTCGTTTGTATCTCCTTCTCTTCCGATAGAAATTCGAGGTAGTTGGAAGTCAGTGGATTTAAATACGCGTTCCATTCGATCAAGTCGCTCGACGAGAGACACACGACGTGTCTCAACTCGAGACGACGTGGCAATTTATTCACGTTAAATCGTGGCACTTGGAGAGTCGAACATATTCAAGTTCCAGCAGGCTGCTTATTGATTTTTTAGCTGCTACAACAATGATCGCCAGTTGCTATTGTCGTGTCGTAGTCATCGGTAAACCGTGTGTAAGACGAGTTTGCTGTTGATAAAAAAAAAAAGAAAGAAAAAACAGCCGAATCGTCGGGGAGATGTTGAATCGTGAATTATGTAAATTCACGATTCTTCGTGTCCGTATTTCGTCACGCGAGCAACATGAAGTCGCGCCGAGGAGACGCACAAAAAAGAAAAAAAAAGACGCGAACAATGTTCGACTTCGTAACGCGCGAATGTGTACGTTCAAATAAACACGAGCGGCAAATACGGACATCCGGTTTGTGAATCATCGTTACATTCTCGAGAATGTGCGTAAGATGCATCGCGAGAGATATTCGTGGATGTCGAGGTCGCCGTGCACGCTCAAGACCAAAGACAAAAACGCCGTCGTTTTTCGCGTCTCGGCCTCGAATCTCAATCTCCCGTTCGTTCATTAATCGGAAGGGAGCAGGGGAATAACCAAAGAGTAAACGAGATTTCAGGGAGGAGTTCGCAACATTTGGACCATTGGAGAGGGTATCGAAAATTTCTCAAACCGAGTACGACCATGAACCGGTGCGAGGACGCTATTTCATACGGTAATACTTATTGATACGAGTCACCAGTTCGCGAGAAAACTTGACGAGACGCAAGATCGAGCGTGAAAGGCGCGACTCGATTCGTCGAACGTAACAGCGAGATGACGATCTATTAATCATAGAGGAGTCGTCTATCCGGTGATACGCTTGCAGTTGCGTTTTCAAGTCACAGCACTAATCTGCGAATCGATCACGTATCTATTTCCTTCGCGTAAACTCGTGGAAAATGAAAAGCTCCGCTGAACTCGTCAATGAAACTTTTCATTTTTCACGAAATTCATGCGAAGGAAACGGATACATGATCGATTCGCATACTAGTGCTGTGACTTTAAAAAGTAATCGCGGATACATCGTAGACAATCCTCAACTTTTTCATGAGATCGTGCAACGGCGATCGGCGCAATTGTATACTGAGAAAAAGAATTGTTGACCTAACTGTTGTTACTTTTTACTTCAACTACACTGAAAGAAATTATCTGATAAAAAATTAACAAACGGATATTTCCGATCAAATTTTGACCAATTTTTATATCCGACCAGAATATTCGATCAATTTTATCGGATATTTCTGATCATGACATTTCATCAGATAAACAAAAAATTATAAACTGATATTTCTCATCGTATGTTTCCTGATCGAATAAAAAAATTCATCGGTATTTTGATCGGAAATATTAGTTTGTTAATTTTTTACCAGATAATTTCAGCGCACATTTTTTATTGTTCTGACATGAGAATGGTAATAATAACATGCACATATAAGATCAATTATAACTAACATTAAATTATAATTGAATAAAAAAGAAAATTACTTTTTTGAGCACAATTTACAATTATTTCTATACGTGATTATATAATTGCAGGTACCAAACAGATTTTTCTCAGTGTATTTTTCGCGCGCAGTCCGTCGTGGGAATAGGAGCGGTTTCGTGATCCGCCCGCACATCCCTCGTAGACGTAAAACTCGATTCCGAATGTACATTACTGTCATTAATCGCACGTGCTTCGCTTTCATTCACGCCGACTCCCTCCCGCCAGGCGCACGATACGGGCGTCCGCGTTCGCGCCACGGTTGGCCAGCGGTGACGTGCCGGCGAAGCCCGTCGTGGCCCCGATTGGCTGTCACTTACTCCCGCGTACTACTACCTCGAGCGCGAGGTCGAACCGGTCGCGCACTACGAATAGAACCGAAGCGCGTCAGGTCAAGGCGCGCAACGCGGAGAGAAGCGAAGGCACCTCTTCGAGGGAAAGAGCCGAGAGAGTGTGCTTCCGACAAGGAGTTTGCGCGGATACAACGACGACGACGGGCAGCGAGAGAGCGTGTTTGCGTCCCGCGACGCTCCACCAACATGGCGGTGCCAGCGTACACGCAACCGCTATTTTCGAATCGTCGAGCTCGCGGGCCGCACGTCACTGTCAATCACACCGTGCTCGTGATACTGGCGTACGTGCTGTTGGCGAAAGGTATCGATCAAACACACGAGCGAACAAATTCCTACCGTCGATCGCGAATATCGCGCGACCGAGCATCGTCCGTCACGTCGCTGTTGTTGCTGCGTCGCCGTTAGAAAAACAGGATGTGGTTTATCGTGACTTCGGGATAGAAGCGTGATGACAAGGACGCGCGTGCTGACTCGGCCATGTGTGCGTGGGTGCGTGTCTCGTGCTGCGCGACTCAAAGCTCTAACAATCGACGATTCTATTCATCCGCATCTGTCTCGTATCCCATTGGTGAACCGTCGCATCGGCCTGTACATCCTCCTCCCTCGTCTCGCTCTGCTCCCCGCTGCCCCACTACTGATTTCCTTCTTCTGCTGTCTCGTTCATAAAATTGACGAGTTGTTTATTTCCCGTGGTTCGACGGTAGAATGCAACGTTTCCTTCACTGTACGTTTTACGTCGACCGTGTCCGCATTGTCAGCTACGAAACGTCGCGTTTGTTGTAGTCAAATTTCGACAAGAGGCGAGATTGAACTAATCCTTGCCACTTGGTTCGCGCGACCAGAGTGCGCGTAGTTTTTTTTTATACGTTTACAAAATTCTGCGCAATACCGATACAAGTGTGACGCTTTGTGATATTGTGATACCGTCTCTCCGTTCTAGTGTGTCATACTTGGCGTGTAAATTCTGTACGATCTTTATTGCAGATGGTACGAGCGTTTCCTTGACTTACCATTATGTGGATGATGCGAATTATTACCATACAACTATCAACAATGGCGATAATATAAATCCCCTGGAGAGATTGTACTCGATATCCAAACAGAAGTGGCATAAGGATACAGTGGCACCAATCTCCTTATTGCCATCTACAAAAGGAATGCCTGCGAGATCTCATCACAGGTAAGGCTCATGTATATGTTCACAATGTTGAGAGTCATTTCTCATCATCTGGCGGTGTCGCTCGAAGTAACAAGATCTTTTCTCTCACCTCAAAACACTCTCCGTGCAGGATCCGGCAGTCCATGACAGATGATGCTGGAATGGATCTGCAAGTGGCACAACTCAGTACTCAGGCAAATCAGGAAGTACATTCCAGGACATCTTTATCATGGGTAGATTGGCAATTGCCTCTCTTTATAGCGCTCTGTGCCATCGTTGGCACTATTCTTTTTACATTCTTGGTAAGCAATCAACTTTCTCACTACACAGACAAATTATGATACAATTAGAAATAATTATAGAAAAATTACAAGACTGAAAGGCAAATATAAAGAATGCATTTCCATCCCTTTCCCTATAGCAAGTGCGAGTAGCTATTTCAAAAGCTTCAGCAATGAATCATTCAGTCAAGCGTACGATTGTGTACAAATAGTATAATGAAAAATTTCCGATAGATCCTGTTATGGCTGCGGAAACAAATGTCGCGTGAAAAAGATACCGAGGATGGCGATCGGCAAGGTCTGGTAGAGGAATGTGCTGCGTGTTGCCCGCCAGACAAGTTAGCTAAAGAGACAAAAGGACCCGTGGAAGCCGAATGGGTTCACGAAGCAGCCGCAAAGCCGCCCGCTCCCGTGCATCCCATTCCACAACCAATCCCTCAAGCGTCTGATTTACCGGAGGTAAATTCGACGACACGATTTGTGTCGGCACAATTTATACAACGTTGAAATATTGCGATGAAAATACAAGTCTTCTACTGAAACAGGTGATGTCCGTGACGACGCCAGAACGTAGACCGGATCCGATCCGTATAAAACCAAAGAAATTGATAGAACGGCGGGGTTCGAGCACAAGCTTAACTATAGGACTGACGCCGGCTCCTGAGAGTCCACCCCACATGGTCACTCCCACACGAGAGTGCACGGCGGAGGAATTTTTACTGAGTGCGGGAAACGTACTTTCGCGAGCCCAACTGAAGAGAGCGGTCAACGATCCGACGATCTTGCACAAGGAATTCTGGGAGGTGCCGTTGAACTTGCCGGAAAAGGTGGACATTTGCGGCTCGGGGGTGAAGAATCGATACTGCTCCGTCTTGCCGAATCCGCAATCGAGAGTGATCTTGCCGGGCTCCTCCGACGACCCTCTCGCCGGTTACATAAACGCCAACTACATTCGAGTACGTAAATAACGGGAAACCAGTGCTCTTCGAATATCTCGTCGTTTCGCACTGAAAGTAGATACAAAAATTTAATAAATCACAGGGATATGATGGCGAGGATGCTAGATACATCGCGACACAGGGACCATTAGCTCACACGATAGCAGACTTCTGGAGGATGATCTGGGCGAATAAAGTATCGGTGATCGTCATGATCACCAGACTGCATGAGGCGTCCAAAGCGAAGTGCGACGCATATTTTCCCTTTGACGTGAACAGTCGTATACAGGCAGGACCTTTCACCGTCATCGTCAACTATATCGATACGAGAGACGGCTACACCGTTAGAACCCTCGAAATCAGGCACGAAGGGGAAAGACGACACTTGCAACATTACTGGTAATACAGAGCTACTTGCTATTCTCGATAACTGCGAATTACCACGAAAATGTTCGCGGCACGTATCGCTCTTATCGATTACTATTTTCGTGCTCCACCATCTCAATGCTGGAATGAATCGATAGGTATGACTCATGGCCAGACCATGCTGTACCTCAAGCTGCAGATGCACTCGTTGGTATGGCGGCGGAAGTAAACTCTTTACTAGGGCCAATCGTCGTCCACTGTAGCGCAGGCATCGGACGTACCGGCTGTTTCATAGCGTTAGCGATAGGAATGACTCAACTTCTCAGAGACGGAAACGTCGATGTGTTAGGCATCCTGTGTCAGATGAGGTAAGGCAATAAGCTTTCGACATACTGTTCTTTCCTGCCGTATTCTTTGTAGATATAGATGTATAGATTTTTATAGATTTATATATATATATATATTTTTTTTTTTTTCTTATACACAAATATCTCTTTACAGATATTTTTGTAGATCTCTACAGATGTATAGATTTCATAAATATACAAGTACCTTTGGTTTTCCAGATACGACAGAGGAGGCATGGTGCAAACAGCCGAACAATATGAATTTGTTCACAGGGCACTTAATCTCTTCGAGCAGATGCTAGATAACAAACCGTCGACTTCGACGAGTAGCGTCTGAATGGATCTTCTGAGGAGTGTTTCTCTGTCTCTTCTCCCAAAGGAGGAAATCACTATCGCCTGCGAGAATATCACTTTCGTCCAGGTGCGCATACGTGTCTGCCGCTGTAAGGGTGTTTAACTTCTAATGAATCTCAATATTAGCCTGTGAACCGGCGGTCCCAATCTGGATATTCGGACGAGTTAAGACTCGTTTAATATGCTGCCATTTAATATACTGCCATGATAAATCGTTGACAATTAAATAATCGTTCGCACAGCTCAAAAGAAGAACGAGAGAATTTCGCCGTTGGAGAGCAAATTTTCTAAGCAGGTGCTTTTTAAAACTGCATCACATAATAGTTTAAACGAACAACGGAATTTCATTTCATTTATAGTGACACGCGATATGAATCGTACGATACGTACGCTCGACTTGAGAAACGGGGGAGATTATTTTACAAATTGAAAAGCTAAAAATAATCTCCGGACGTGGCGGTAACGTACTTGCGACTACGTATCGTGAAATTTCTACTTAAAAAGAAAAAAAGAGAAAAAAAAGAAAAGAAAGCAGTAACTGGACTTGAGATCTGATTATCTCCGTACATTCCTCGTGTGTACTATAAAATAGCTAAGATAAATCTTGATGAACACTCTCTGAGATACACAAATATGTAATTGAGAACGGTGTCGCGATTTTAATAAGGTGAACGCGAGATTCTTCGCTTGTAGCGTCACGACGGAGTAAAATATGTGACAAAATTTACCAAGCCGACGTGCATGATGAATTAAAGTTATCGTAATTACTATCTTTAATGGCATATAGCTAAATGTGTGAAATTGTGACGAGTAACATTTGAAATAATTACTAATTTATGGGACCCAGAGAAATAATTAGATACTGTCCTACTTCCAGTTCCTATTTGATTTTGAAGTATCTCTATGATTTTTACGACTTTTATTTAATTCATCAACTAAGACTGAACACGGGTAGTACAATATATAATAATTATTTAGATTATAAATCAATTTAACGATATACATAAAAGAAAAGCAGAATCTTCTTATAGCAGTTAGAAGTATATTCACCTGATTCGGAAAAAGTGTACACGATAAGGCAATTGAAAATTTATAATATAATTCTTGCCTTGTATTTTATGAACAAAGATATATTTAATTCGTTGATTTCAATTATTGATTAATATATATGGAAAAAAAGATTGAATATATTATAATATAAATATTTGTATAAACTCAAAAACGCAAACGTTTTGTGTACAATTATTGGTGGATACTCTAAATTTGATTACTTTCCTTGAAAATTAATATCTAACATCCACACACACACACATATATACACACTTTAGTGAGTTAACATGAAGTAAATTTGTGGATGGCAATAAACAATTATTACACAATCACAAGCGTTCTATTGGTCGAGTAAACATTTATTCATTTGGTTGCTAGTATTTCTCAGATACAACTTCCTAGTTAGTAGGATAATAATCAACACCAATAGTGTAAACTTGGATAACACCTAAAATCCGTGGTGTATGTTGTGCGCATTTTAAGATGCTAGCAACTAGCTTGTTGTGCTTGCGGTCCAGCTTGTGGACCGCAGTGACTTACCTTCAATAAACTCAAATTTAAAATCGAACAGCTAAAACAGCTAAGGACAAACTGTATCTGGTTTTTGTGTGTATGCAACAGATGTATAATGGAACAACAGTTACGTATCTGTTGTAAGGAAAGCAGGATATCTTTCAATATATCTAGACAATTCGCATCGCTTGTAACTGAATGAATTATTGGTAAAATGCCTGGAAAAACACATATACAAATATACATGCAGTATATGTATATACGACTGCACCTACACGTGCATGTGTATACCAACATATATGCACACATATAAATGAGTATGCACAGGTGTGTGTATATATGTATATGTATGTACATGTATGCACATATACTATGTACATAGATACATTGTACAGAGAGAATAAACAAAAATATATATATATATTTAAGAGAATATGTATTTGTGTAAGATAAAAATATATATATATTATTTATAAATGCGCAAAGCCGCAAGTGACTTAGCAAGATGTATCAACAAACGACGACGATGAATACAACAATAATAATAAAGATAATAATAATAATAGTAATAATAATAATTTAGCAACCCCTCGGTGTTCAATTGTACTTATGTGATGTAATAAATGTTTATAGTATCCGTGCATGTATCAGATTCATGATATTCTCTTCCTAATGTTTCTCAAACTGAAGATTACACTTGTAAAGTCGCACGAAATGAAAGGCGGAGTGAAAGGGGGAGTTGCAGCTTTAAGAATTTTACGGAATTATACGCAAAAAGTGACACATCGTTTGCCAAGTGAGCGTAAAGTTGGCCACTGTTGCGTTTTGCACTAAACAATCAATGTGCCCGATATACAAATAAAACCTCTGACAATTTTCCATAAATGCCATTGCGTACTTCATGCAGAGAGTACTCACCGAGGACAGAGCAGTTTTCGAGATAGCTTTCTCCTTCGCCGGAAAAACCGAGCGTTGGAACTCGGTAACCGCAACGTCGTCCAGGAACCCGACACGTACGATTGACCAGCTCGTCTTCGCGGAAAACACAATGCTATATCCTCGCGTTCTCACGTTCAGTCAGGTAATGTCGAGGCCGAAACCTTTATTCCGAGGACTCGTCGACACGTCCATCCGCAGTCCCTCGCGAACCGAGACAAATGCCGTGTCTCGCACGTATTCTCCACCAACGAAACAAACACCCGCGCGATTCAATTTTTCAGGAGGAAGCGCGATGCCCACGCGCACCGCTCGCGCGCACCCAACGCGCGATATTTCAAACGGGATTGGGTCACGTGATCACGGCCCGTTCTCCTCGTTCCGCCGTGGAGCACACGCACGAGTGGAGGCGCGCGAGCGCGAGTGCTAACTCAATGTTGAGCGCGAGCGAGCGTGTGTGCGGTATCGGCATCGAGGCTCGGATTTAGTCCGCGGCACGGGATTATCGTGACTCGAGCCACTCGCGGGATAGTCGTGCCTACCTAGCTCGCTGGCGAGAGCGATCTACGTTTCTACGCGCCCGCAGAGACAGAGAAGTGAAGAGGAAAGAGAAAGAGAGAAAGAGAAAGAAGCGGAAGCGAGCGTGTGTGAAGCGCGTTCTGCTGGAGCCGCGCGAAACGCGACGGTGCCGTGAAGTTCGCCGCGATAGATAGCCATCGGCACCGCTCGGTAGTAGGCGCCTTAGTCGCTAGTCGTCCGTAGATCGCGCGCGAGGAGGCGCGAGATAGGAAGTGAGGTAAAAGGAGCGCGCGGCGCAAGGATACGTCGGCGAGCGGGAGGATCTACGGAGGAGGCGAGGAGCAGCAGCGAGGATTACGGCAGGACGTGTCTCCGCGCGCGTGCTATGTGGGACGTCGCGGAGCGAAACGTCGCGGCTCGAGCGCGGAATGGGGCCCGTTGATCGGGCCCGGAACAACGGCAACGGGCTTCGACGCGCACCGACCACGGAGACATGGACGTCATCGGGGACGGGGACGAGCAGACCCTCCAGGCGATTCTCGGTGAGCACTCCTTTCTCCGTCATCTTTTTTTTTCGAAGTTTCACGAAGGCAACAACGGCAACGGCACGATTGTCCGCGCTCGACTCTCGGAATTTACCATTCAACGTCATTTCTCTTCCTCCCTCTCCGTCTCTCTCTTTCTCTTTCTATCTTTCTATCTTTCTCTACGACGCTAACTCTATTCCCCGTGATTTTGCCGTGTTCGTATCGAAGCGCGTTTGCATAACGCGAGTAACGGGCTCGGTCTCATTTCGCAGCGCTCGAATCGTGTCGCCTAACAGTAAATATCGTATCCTCCGGCTCCGCTGGTCATTAGTAATAAGTGCGGATTACGAGGCGCGGTGATATACAGAGCGTGTTTGACAAAGCGCCGGTGACAGCGATGGAATGTCGCGCGAATTTGACACCGCGACACCGTTATCGTGGCTCTCGCGCGCGCGGTCTACGTTGCGTCGCGCGCCCGGCCGTGCTGGTTCTCTCCTCGTCGGTAGCGACGGACGAAGCACGATGCGTGCTGCTTGCCTGCCTGCCTGCGAGCTTGCATGCGTGCGTGCGTTGACCTTAAACCCGCACCGGATACGCGCGTTTTCGTCTCCTTTCGACGCGGTGGAGTTGACGACGGCGGTGTCGCTCCATCGATGACGGCTTGAAAGCGACGGATTCGCGGGATTCGAATCGTGCGATCTAGTCGCTCGAAAATCGCCATAGTGATGCGCTCGCGTGATCGCTTCGTTTGCAACGGAGTCGGAACGATATCCACGGTGGAGTGTTGAGTTTGTTCGGCTAGTCGAGCTTCCGGTGTCTTGTCACCTTCTCCACTTGCCGCGGCGATCAACGCTTCTACGCGCGGAATCGTCCGAGTGGCCCTGTTAGGAGCTCGATATCCGTCGATAGAAAACACCGATTGGTGACAGGGACGCGCGTCTGAACGCGTGGCTTTGATGCCCGCAGAGGCGTCAACGCGCCGCGGTAGATCGTGGAATCCGCTGCTGCCGTCGTCGTCGTCGTCGTGAAACGCGAGAGGCTCTTCCTCTCGACGCATAACCAGGCTGCTGAGAGAGGTCCTTAAAGGAGAGTCACGCGCTTACGTGGATACGCTTATCCTACTTTTGCCTTGACTGCGGTTCTCCCCACCTCCGTCGCGGAAAACCATCTTCGCGTCGTTACTTACCTGCTATATACGCGCACTTCTTAGCGTCGGACGCGTCGCTCACGATCGCGTCTTGTCACGATCAGCCGCTGTTTCTTCTTCTTCTTCTGCCTCTCCTTCTGTCGCTCCCACGGGCCTCGCCTTGATCGAAGTCCTCGGCCGGTGCCCGTCCAACGATCGTCGTGGAATACAAAACCAATGGAAGCGACGTGAGGGAAGGAAGGAAAAAAGAAAAGCCTTCGACGTGTCTCCCAAGCGCGCTTCTCTCTCTTTCTTCCTCTCTCTCTCTCCCTGTCTCTTTCTCTCTCCGTGTATTTACGTTTCGTTGGCGGCGCACACTCGGGATTTACCGCGTGTTCCACGCCGAGTGCGTTCACCTGTAACGAGTGCGGCGTGGCGTTCCTTATGTAGGTCAGAGGTTGCGGTGTAAACGCCGCACGATCTCGGAGATGAACGCTCCACGTCCACCGGAACGAGTCAAGAACGAAGCCATTCACGTTAAGACGATCTCACGGCGCCGGGCGCGATGCTTTGACAATCTGACCGTTTCAAATAAGATAAAACACCCAATTGTTGACGTGTCCCCCTTAGCCATCGACACTCTAGAAAAAAATCTTGTTCTTCACGCGATAACCACTATTTCCCTGCACTTAATGTTTCCAGAAGAGAACTCCGTAATTTGTGGGCGATCGCCGTTAGTCGTAGGAAAAACTACGCTTTTGTAGAATGCCGATGACTAAGCGGAATCAATAATTCCATGTCTTACCCCAAACAAAGAGAGAAAGAAAGAGAGAGAGAAAATGGAGTAAAGTAGAACACACTGAAAAGAAAGATCGGGTAAGACGAATCAAGTCTCTGGATCGAGCACACTTGGTTGCATCAACTGCAACCGAATCGAGTAAAAATTAAGTCTGTTTAACAATCCGATATAGGAATTTCGATTAAAAAATTTAGTCAGAAGTGAAAGGTCAATAAAAACTGAAACGTAGTTGTACTATGTTCTTCCAACTAACGAAAAAGATTAATCCAACTGCATGACATAAGTAATTCCATTTTCTGGATGGAAGATCAAGTAAATCAGATAAAAGTACATTGAGCTGATGTCTTGATAATTGGATGTTTGCAAGATTTCTTCGACTAGAAGAAATCATTACAACAGGTTCCTCAAAATTGTTAAATAAGGTACAGTATGCAGAGTTCGGATACATGACTCAGCGGCCATCGATAGGTTGCGTTGACTACCTCGCTAGCTCGCAAATAAATGGCGAACATAAGCGAGCACCATTAGAAGCTTTACATGACATGTAGTCATGTGTGTACTGCCTGGAACCTGACTGTCTTTTTTGACGTTTTCTGGCACCTTCAGTGTCAACTGTTGTATTTTTTACTGTAAGTTGAAATTGTTAGTTTCTTTTGGATAATAAACGGGAGACACTGGTTAAAGTTACTGTTATTAGTCTGTTACGGGTACATATTATATAGGAGAAAAATCTAATGAAATATTATTCTCTTTGATAACGTATGTAGCTTATTCAGCTAGGGAGAAAAAAGTCGAGTAGAACTCCTTACTCGTTACTAAACTTGACAACTCATCTGGTCACCGTTACTTTTTATGATCAAGTCAACACCGCATAGTTAATCAATTATGCTGAATGCTCAGCTCGTTTGATATAAATAAAAGATTGCAAGAATACAAATTATACTGAAGGAATTAAGACAATTAATTTGCCATGTACAATCCCGTAATTGAGTTCTGTCGACTCGATTCTAGTTGTTCCCTTTAGTTAGTGTTTCTAGTCTCGTCTCGTGACTTTTTCCGACTATTTGACACATTATCTTCCTCCTAATTTTTCGTCCAGAAGATCCCTATTCTTCTTGTTGCTTCCTTCTTCTTGTCTTTGTATATTACTATATAAATTTTACTGTTATCTTATCTCTACTTACCTTAATACGATCCTTTCGGTTTAGATTGTAAAATTACGAGTTATTTTGAGAGCTTTCAAATGTTCTTTTTCGACTCACTCAAAAACACAAAACGATTGACTCATTCTCTCTTTATATCTAATTATTTACATTTAATTCTTCCCTCAACTCATCGTATTTACATCTGAATATTAGCTTACACCTAATATTCTTTTTAGCTGGACTACCTGGCTAATGCACACTAGTATAATAAGTCAGAGTGAGACAAATATATTTCGTTTCACTCTAACTTATTGCACCAAGTTTGCACCAGTTCAGGCGGTTCAGCTAAAAAGAATATTAGGTTTTGTGAGCTAATATTTTTTATAAAAGGACATATGAATACACAGCTTTACCGCACACTAGTGCATCAAAGTGAATCTGCCATAAAAGAATAAGAGACTCGTTCGTTCTCTTCTACTAACGTCAACGTGAAATCTATCGCACCGTCGCCGCCGACGATTCCACTGTTCTCTCCGCTGCGGACCGATAGTGAAAGTCGCGTGGTGAACGTGCTTTTCCGTTTATTTGGAATTAACGGCTCGATAATTCACGGTAATCTATACCGAACCTATACCGAACAGTCGCCCGCTATTGTGCATTCACTTTTTTTCAACTTAACTATTGGCCGTTCCAACGAAGTTAGCTCTTTTAATCATTCTGCTCGATGGAGGAGCTGCAGGAGCTCCCTCCTCTCGTGAGAGCGTCGTGTCGCGCGAGCGTCTTTCGAACACGTCTCGAGAGTGTCTTCCTTTTTATTGTCTCCTGATATAGGCTGCTTACATTTACTGGCCTCTGTGAGAATTTTAATGCTTGTCCGAGATCGTTTCTTACTGTCCCTCTTCACCGGTCGCGTGCGTTTAAATCGAACGCGAGTAATATTGATCCCATTGCGCGAATAACGAATTACTCGTGTCACAATTTCGTGTGATTCCTTTTCAAGATCGGCATATATTTTTAAGCGCTCCACTGCAAGGTTCCTGGATACTCGCCTGTTAGATTGTGACGTCAGTAGCGAGAAATGACATGCCGAGAATTCTTGTTTGATATTTCCAAATGAAAGGATGTTTATGTAAAAGAACATACTTGAGCATATTTGTAAAATACTCCGAAGACAATTCTCTTTTCTCTTGGCATACAACAAACGGTCGTAAAATGTGGTCGAACGTGGCAAAACCATGAGAAAAGATAGGTTAAAGGTAGGTTGCGTGTCACGTTAATTTTGCAGCTATTTATTGACTGTCAAAAAAAAAAGGATAATTCTCGAAGCATTTTATAAGTACACTTAAGCAATCAGAACTGTTCTTTCATTTAAATATCTTTTTATTTGGAAATGACACGAAAGAATTTTGGATATGCGCTTTCTCGCTTCCGACGTCGTCGAACCGAAATTCCGCGGCGAGAGTACCTAGAAGAACCTCAGAAAATTTACTATATTTCTAATGAAATTTACTGTACAAGTTTTAACAAGATAGACCTTACACTGAGAAAAAATGTCTAAAAATTAACAAACATTTATTAGGTGAGTACCATTAATATATTTGACAAGAATTTTATAAGAATTAACACATAAGAATTTTAATTTAAATAAATATGTTAATAATATCGAATAAATATTTGTTAATTTCTAAATATTTTTTTTCTTAGTGTACTGTGACAGTCTCTACTCCCGCATTATCAGAAATACAATAAAAGAATTTTTGTGACAGAGAGAAAAATCTGAATATTCTCTCCGTGCGGAATAACCGGTTAACAATGTGTTCATGATGAAAACGATTGAAATGATTTGACGGCGTGTGAGGTACTGTGAAACGATGCCGCTCGCGCGTCGCAAAATGAGTTAATGGCGATGTGTTGTTGGTGTGTCGTGTGCGTACCACACGCGCTCGCCTTTTACCCCTCGTACACGTCATTGACGAGAAAGATGTGGAACATGCTTGTTCATACGTTTCGAAACATTTTATTTTTCCATCTTGTCTTTCCTTTTAATCCGGCGAAACGCGCGCTCTACGTGCACGTGTATGACGCAACGCGCTTAGTAATTATGTCGTCGCTGCGGCGTTAATTGATTAATTTCGATTTCAGGCGCGACGTTGCTTTATAATTTTGCAATTAAGAATTTAACATTCACGCGCCAACTCGACAATCTATCGCCGGACATCTCTCTGTGGAAGTGCCACACGCAAAGAAAAAACTAGTTTCCAGAGCTAAACAATAGCTGTGGCAGATGTGTCACTGAAATAGGGACAGCTAATGTCGATATTACCGAAGCTAAATTTATTCGCTGTTTAAACTTAGGCGCTACAGCGAGAAATATTAGCTACTAAAAACAAATGACTGTAGTAAATGATTGTAGCTGTGCGGCAAACTTCTTTAATATATGCATACGATAAGAAATTTAGGAATAACTGCCATTTTCTTAGCTACTTGAAATAATGTGCATTTTTAACGTCACCTAATATATTTGTATTTCATAACGAATGCATTTTAGCTGTTATAGCCAATTCTTAGCAGTGACAGCTAAACGATTAGCCTTTTGACTAAGTTTGAATCAGCTACCGCGGTTTAGCTGATATTACTAAGTCATTTTTTTGCGTGTGGTGGGCGTGATCTCATTTTACACCTTGGCTGCGTTCGATATTCACTTCTGAAAATCTACAGTTACATGTTACATATATTACAGTTATGATATTACTGCTCGTTACAATGTATAATTTTGATTCTTGGCTTTTTTTCAAACAAGAATGGCGTGAGTGGCACCAATAATATAACAATAAATAACATCATATGCTTTATTATAACGAAAGATGCTTTCCGTAAAGACTGATTCACATTGATAGGAATCCAATGTAGAATCGAAACGTTTTACTTCAAAATTATAGTATACATTTTTTTACTATATTTATGCGTAATTCCTTTCAACACTTGCTTTAATAGACCCTCTACATTTTCAATTTAGACTTATATATACTATATATTTCCAGTACTGACAGTGAATATTCGAACGCTTGTCGGAAAATTTCTCCCTTTCTCTCTCTCTCTCTCTCTCTCTCTCTCTCTCTCTCTCTCTCTCTCTCTCTCACTCGCGGAAATTGCGTCGTCGGTAGACGGTGTCTCGACTCCACCTTCGGCCGATTCGCTTATAAATAACGACGAATGGTGCATGGCAAGTTGTAGTTTATTGCGCTCGATATAATAATAGCGGGCGCAAATTGCAACAAACGGTGTCGTCAGGAGAA